AGGTGGGTGCAACTTGATTGCCTAATTGAGGTGGGTGCTAATCAGCTACAAGTTCAAAAAAGGCAATATTAATTACTATTTCACGTGGCACTGTGCTTGTGTAACGCAAAGGCAAGTCTTTTGAATATTTGCTTTGTTACTGACACCTGCCCATGCTACCAATCAACTTTGGTGCATGACAGCGGGCAACTATCTAGCAAGGAGAAATCATATGTGAGGGGAGTGTACCATAAGGTCTCACTACAGAGTCCATAAGGAACATGAGAATGTACAGAGGAAAATGTATGGCAGACTAAAAGTCTAGGGCAGGAGAGCCGGAGTGGATACCTGGAGTACCATATGGGAGCAAGGTATAGGGCTATGCTAAATGACAGAGCACAAGGGGCATAATTGTGAGAATACTGAAGATTTGGGAGTTCAGACTTGGGGGATTCTGACTGCTTGGAGGTCCAGAAACCATAGTCTTGTCAATGTACTGGTGAGTAATTAAAAGTGTGCAATGTCTGTAAACTCCTTTAATGTCTGTGCAAGCAATAATATCTTGACAAAATCAGGACTGGTATTTACGACACAAGTAAAAACACTCAAAGGGTGTGCATGCATGGGTTAATGAAATAACAAAGGTTGCAGGAGTGATGGTATGCAATTGAAGCCTTTGTAGGTAGATCTAGAAGAACTTGCATTGTGAGTTATATTCAGCTGTTGCAGATACTTGCTTGGTTTGTGCAAGCAAAATCAAAAGATATTGCAGATGATATTCTATCACATGTTCCAAGTGCCATATTACATACACTACTATTATAGCCAAGTGATTGTGGACAGATCTAATTTTTTCTCAAGCCGTTACCAACGCCATCACCAATGAATTCTGTTGTCACTAGTGTGATGACGCAAGTGAAAATTTTGCATTTTTCGCATATTACTACTGGCTAATAGAAAAGGATCACAAACGGATTTCCTAATTAGTCAAGGTTATCAACGTCGCAGTTTCGACCCTGCATTGTCATGACACGTGATTGAATAAGAACAAGCTCGTCTTTCAGTGGTGCATTTGCATCGCTTTCTGCCACGACGTTGGGCTTAAACTCAGCTCAGCTGGCACGGGGGGTTACCTTGGCGAGGGTGAAGATGGAGATAAGGAAGGGAGACGTGAGAGTGTGAGAGGAGGAGTGTGACGTGTGTGACAAGGACGATCGTGGATCGACCCGAGGAATAATAATTAAATAAAAGGAAAGTTCCCACAGTGCGATTCTCTGCTTGCCGCCGTGTGTTTGCTCGCTGCGATGGACGACGATGAACACATCCCGACGATGTCCTCGACACACACGCACGACAGTGACAGGCTGTAAGTATCGCGTTATATCATGGCTGAGAATGTGCTGACTGTGTGGCAGGGAATACGAGCTGGTGGTGCGCCAGGAACCGAAGCAGGCTCGCATGTGTGGTGTAGGCGGTAAAGGTCCATTTCCATCTGACTCTCCCTACCCCACCTAACCTCTCCTACAGCCGACCGTCGTCCCATCGACCCGCCTCCCATCGTACAGCTCCGCGTTATCGATCCCTCCCACCGCCGCGACCATCTTTCCCCGTCCCCACAACACGACTCATACGCCCGCTCCTTCCTCCAGAACCCGTACTACTTCATGTTTGCGTCCCTCGCAAAACCAGACGACGACGCCGAGCTCCACTGGCTCAAGGACGGAAAAACTCGCTGCACCACTGGCTCAGTCGTCTCTTCTCTTTATCACCTCAAGGACACAGAGAACCAGGGCGAGGATGCTGGCTTCTTCGTCTTTCCTGATCTCAGCGTCAGGACAGAGGGCAGCTACAGACTCAAACTCAGCCTCTTCGAGGTCGTCGGGTGCGTCTATCTTTGCTTTCCTTCATCCATGGCCTTATCTCTCTCCAGGAACAACGTGAGACACTGCAAGTCCATCTACTCTGCTCCCTTTTATGTATACACCGCTAAAAAGTTTCCTGGCATGGAAGGTAATGTCTCTTTTCCCCCTCCTTCTTTCCTACCTCAATCCCCGTCCTTCTCATTCACTCTTTTCCTCCTTTCCTCCTTCCTCCACTATCTCACTTTTTCACCTACATCCCCCAATCTCCCAAATAAAATATATAAATAAAAACAAAAAAAAATCTCACAGAATCAACCCCCCTCTCCTGCTCTCTCGCAGACCAAGGCATCAAAATCCGCATTCGCAAGGATATCAGGGTCAGGAAAAGGCCCATACATGCGCTCGAACATCCCCTTCCCATCGATGACGTTCCTTCCTCGCCCTCTTCGCTCTCCCACCACCATCATCAACAGCAACAACAGCAGGGGCACATTTCGTACGCCCAAGGCCAGGGCCAGGGACACGGGACGTCCTACGACAGCACGTCCCCCTCCCTCCCGCTCTCCTCCCTCCCCTCTTCCTCCCACCACAACCACAACGCCCACGGAAACCACAATGCCCACGGCTCTAACAAACGCGCCCGCACCGACCATTCCTCCCTCGCCGGCCTCCCCGCTTGGCCTTCCGCCCCCTCGTCCGCAGACGCGAGTCTCCCAGCGGCGAGCGCGCAGGGGGGTGTCCCTCTCCCCCTCCCTTCGCTTCCTCTTCCCTCTCTACCACTCTCGACGCTCCCGACGCCGTTGGCGATATCGGGGTCGGGGGTGGGTGTGGGTGTGCCGTTATCGATTGGGTTGTCTGGAGCAGTGGGCGCGCAGGGGGGAGCGGGGTTTAGTATACCCCCACCGCCGAATGCTCAGGGGGTGGGGACGGTGGTGTTATCCCCACAGCAGACGAGGGCGTCTCCACCGCACGGCCAAGGACAATCTCAACCGCAAGGGGGAGGGGGTGTGATTCCCCCGCCGCCTGGGGCTGTTTTCGAAGGAGGAGGTGGAGGTGCGGGAGGAGGAAGGGGAGGGTATTATGATGCGCGGCCACCGTTACACCACTCGCAATCGCAGACGCAGTCGCACTCTCAACCTCAATCTCAATCGCAGGCGCAGGCACAGGCACAGTACGACCCGCCACCACCGCAGTCATCGTCGCAGTCACAATTGCCGCCGTTGCAGACCTCTGTGGGTGCAGGGCCTGGACAGGGGCAGGGAGGAGGGGGACAAGGGTATGGGAGGTACGATGTGTATGCGCCGCCAGGGCAAGGACAGGGAGGGGGGCAGGGGCAGGGAGGACAGGGGGGTGGAGGAGGACAAAGTCAATACAGTCCTGGGGGATACTACGATTCTCCGCAACATCAACATTCGCAAGCGCAAGGACATCATCAACAACAACAGCAGGGGTATGGTCAACAACAACAACAGGGACAGGGACAGGGACAGGGACAGGGGTACGCTCCGCCTGCGCAACATCCACATCAGCAACAACAGCAGTACGCGACTCCCCCACACCAACACCAGCACGCGCAACACCAAGCGCAACACCAAGCTCAGCACCCGCACCCACACCCACAGCAGGTTCAGCACCAGCACCACCAACAACCACAGCATCACTCGCCATGGGGGCCTGCGCCCACTCATCCTCATGCGTCTTCGAATGATAGTAGCAGCCATAACCATAGCGGGTCGGGTGCGGGTGCGGCTGTGGGAGGGGTTGCGGGTGCGAGTGTGGGTGTGGGTACGACGGGTGGGGGGCAGCATAGAGCGTCTGGGCCTGTTCCGTCTGTGTCTGGCTCTGCGGGCGGGTCGCAGGGACAGGGTTCGCAGGGATCGGGGTATGAGCCGTATGGGTATGCGCACCCATCGCACCCATCGCACCCATCTCACCCATCTCATCCGTCTCATCCATCACACGCGTCTCACGCGTCCCACGCACCCCACCCATCGTTACCACACGCACATTCGAGTGGGAGCTCTTCTGGGTCTAGCTCGGCTGCTGGTGGCGGGTATGAAGGCGGCGGAGCGAGCGGCACGGGGAGTGCAGGTGGAGGGGGGTATTATCGGTCCGCGTCTCCTGGTCCTGGTCCTAATCCTGGTATCTTGGGCGGTAGTGGCAGTAGTGGGGGAAGGTATGTTAGTTCGACTGTGAATGCGGCTGCGGCTGCGACTGCGGCTACGGGCGCAGGTGCGGGCGGGCGATACGCTGTTTCGGGGGTTTCGGGTCCTGGTGTGAGCGCGACGCATGGGCAGTCTCAACACCCACACCCTCACCAGCATCCACATCATCACCAGCAGGGACAAGGACAGGGACAGGGACAGGGGTACGCGCATCAGGGTGGTGGTGGTGCTCAGGGTTCGCAATATGGCTATACCTCTGAATCGTTACCACCGCCGCCGCCTCCCCCGACGCAGGGTCAGGGTCAGGGTCAGTCGTATGTCTCGCACCATGGACAGCAGGGGCAGGGGTATGGGCAGGGCGGGGGCGGGCAGGCTCAGCCGCATGCGCAACAGCAGCAGCAGCAACCGTCTTATTATCAGCACGCTCAACATTCCCAGCCTCCTCACGCGCACGCTCAGCATCACGTTCACCAACACCCACACGCTCAGCAGCAGCAGCAACATCCTTCTCAGCACGGTCAGCAACAACATCCTCAACACCCTTCTCAGCATCATATTCACCAACAGCAGCAACAGCAACAGCAACAGCATGCTCAGCAACACCATCAGTCTCACCAGTCTCATCACCACCAACAACATCAACCACAACAACACCAGCAGCAGCAGCAGCAGCAACCATCTGATCTGATCCACCTGGCACCCCTCCGGCGCGGTGCCGGCTCGCCTGGGAGCTCGGGGAGTAGCGTGGGGAGTATTGGGGGAGGCGGGGTGGGTCCTGGTATTAATATCGGCGGTGGAGGAGGGGGAGGGGGAGCGTACTCGATGATTCAGCTCCCCAGGGCTTCGTTTGTGGGCGAGAGAGAGCGGGGGAGGGGGCCTGGGATTAGCGGTGTTGGCGTTGGCGTTGGAGGGATGGGCGGGCCTGGGATCGGTATTGGCGGACCTGGCATTGTTGGACCTGGCATTGGTGGACCTGGGATTCCAGTCGGGGTGGGGATGAGCGGGATGGGTGTTGGAGGGATGGGTGGGCTTGGAGGTGTGGGTGGTGTAGGGATGGGGAAGAAGAATCCGTTGAGTATTGGGAGTATTATTTCTGACGATGTGTGAATGTGGACGCGGTGGAAGCGTAGTATGTATGAGGTATAAGGATGGAGCGGGGAGGTGGTGGCCGATGAGCTAGTATCGTTGCGAGAGGGCATGGAAGAAAAGAAAAGTAAGCAGTGGACGCAGGTTTAGGGGATCGAACTGCCAATTCGCTGTTTCTGCCGTTCGACCTTTTCCCCGCCAAGTCGGTACGGGAGTCATGCCAATCCACCATATCCCGCCGCTAGCATGAGTTGGCCCTACCCGGTGCGCTGTTGCGAGACTACGAGGGGGGGCTAGAGTTGGTGCTCCGTCGCACGTCGTTAGAAGCGTTGAAGGTTGCTTTACCATCCGAACATTCTACCTTTTTATTTCTTTTCCTTTTTTTTTTTTACCCTTTCTGATCCAGGTTCCTTATTTTCGCGTTTCTTTTTCATTCGCTTTCATTCGCCCCTCCCTTTCATCTCTCATCTCACCGCTTCTTTCGCCGTGTTACCTCTCGCCTTTTGTTCATATCACAACCTTTCGTTCTTACCACATTACCCCGTCCGAAATCAGTTTTTTTTGTTCTGCTTTGTGTCGATATCCAGATTATTACCCCCTCCTGTCTCCTGTTTTCTCGTTCACGCATCTTGTCATCAACCGTTGTGTCGTCTTTGTGTGTGTTTTTAGTCTAGGGTAATGACCAACCCCTCTGTCCATCATGTCTGCTTTTTCTCTCTCTGTTGCTGTTTTTTTTCTTTCTCTCCTTTCCTATCCTCTCCTTTTCTTTGGATTTGGATTTGAAAACCAAACAAACAAAAAAAGTGCTCAGCTCTTTGTGCTCATTATAATGTATATTTGATTTCTCTGATCATGGATTCTTTCGTGGAATAAGCTCTTAGAGTTGTACGTATACATTGGCAGCAGCTTCCCAGTTCTCATGTGACTGGTCCAAGTGATCGTGCGCCGCGCATCATGTCATCTGATAGTCCAGAACAGAAAGAGCTGGAACCTTTGGTGGATGCGTTTTACTCGTTATAGAAGGATCAACCCTAGGTGTTCCACTCGGTTGGAACCCTCGCCGTTCTCTCGGGCCTCTCGAGATTCTGATTCTCTCCCCGAAGCCTTCAAATCTATTGGAGAGAAGACAATGAGGGCAGGGTCTATCAGTACCCAGATACGTTATCACAGATCGGACTACTTTTATCTGTCTCTTAAACGCGAGTGACCGTGAAGGCGTCATTTTCAGTTTTGGTCGACCTCGAGGCAGGGTAGAACTGCGCATGGCAACTTGAGGTTTTAGATGAAATGTAGAGCTGTTGTTTGGCGTTTCGAGCACGGTGCTGTATAACTAGCGGGTTTGGATAATATTCGTAAGTACGTTATCGGAGGGTATTCAGGGGCTATTTTTATAAATTTGGATCCATTAAGTGGATGAGTGTCGTGGCGACATTGCAAAAGGCTGTCATTTTTAACCGTGCTGACCAGCATGCTGCTTGACACGAAATCGACAGACTCTACGGAAAATATAAAATGGTATGAAAGAGAAAATAAAGCGGCTATATAGAGCTATGCAGGAGTGGAGAGAAGGAGAGAAAAATGTAAATGGCTGAAACTATTGGAGAACTTTCTGGTGCGTCCTGAGAAAATCGTTTTCGATCAGTAGCCACCTAGATCACACAAGCTACCGACCCCAAGCCCCTACTCATCCAGGTGAACAACACTCAAACAGTGACGGACTTAAGAATATGACTCACATGGCCACTTTCCACATCATCATTTCACGTATACCGTCTGGATAGACGTCTCGAAGTTGTTTCCCCAGCAGCTTCGCACATGAACAATACCCTGCGTGGCAACCTTTCTGTATTGGGTCATATCAGCACGCAGCAGGCGCAAGACCAACGCCTGGTGGTGGTTATCCTGTTTCGGTCCCAGTTCGTTGAGGATATTAAAGCCAGCGTACTCCTTGAAATCCAGGATAGCGAGCATGAGCGTCATCGGCGAGAGCACTCTTAGCGTCTCCGCCGTCTCGACAAGAACATCCCGCAAGCCAGGTACGTCTAGCTTGTAGACGTGCACACCGTTCTTCGTCTCCAGCAGCTCCACCTCGCGCACCTCGAGCATAGGCAATTCCAGGCGTAGCCCCCTCTGTGTCAGCTCGAATGACGTTCGTGAACTGAGACTGGTGAGCTTGCGCTCGTGCAATGCTTGGAGCACCGAGGGAGACAGAGAAAAAACCGAGCCATATTGGACTTTCAAGTCTCGACGCACACGAGACTGTATCTCTGTAGTGCATCGCTCAAGATTGGGATCAAGCTCCTTTAGCGCCATGTTAATTCGCCGGATGGCCTCATCGATGGCTGGGTCGAAGGCTGCTTCGATATGGAAGAGAACATGTCTGCGGAGGTGTTCATCATCATCTGCATCAAAACCTACTTCCAAGTCTGATAATAGTGCTGACCCCAAACCCAAGACAGCCGCCGTGTTTCTGGCCAAGTCCCGACAGCAAAACCTAATCATACCATCATTCGGCTGACTGCTCGACAAAACAAATGTAGTATACAGGTCGCCTCCAACGTCCCAGAACTCTGAATGTGAGGATTGCGGTAAGGAGCCTTCAGGCGTAAGATAAGTTATATACTGGAAGTTGCCGGAAATATCGTTGAATGTTGCCTCAGTGGCTGAGATGTCGGAATATCCATCTTTCGTTTCCTCGAAATTTAAGAACCAAGGAGGATCGTCACGAGAAAGGACATTGTCCACTTCGTTACTCCCGGAGAATTTGTGACTAAAGGGCTCATATACAGTAGCTACCGCACCATCATAAATTAGACTGACCTTCCGGGCAAGCCATGCCTCATAATCAAGTGTTGATCCCCACTAACTTCTACCGCCACCGTACCCGGCGTAGCAAAGGCCATCCTAAAGAGCTTGTCTCGGCTGAGATAATGAGCATTGATCTCACGGTCGCGATGGAAGATAATAGAGATACGATCCATATATTGGAGTCGGGTCCATGAACTGCCATTGACCCAGGTGACAACAACTCGGGCAGAGCTGTAAACAATTTCCGTCGCAATATCAGCAGCGATACCCATCAGGATATCAGATATTGAGCTGGTAATCTCAATAGGAATGAAGCATTCTGGGCCCGCAGCTAATGCGCTGTTGTATTTGGAAGACTGGCCATTCCATAGAAGTAATCCCCAGTCGAGGCTGTTCCTGGTAATTTCCACTTGCAATCTAAAAAACGCCCTCTCGCCCTCTCCATAAGAAACTGTCAAGCTGACATCGAGAATTCCAATCAGACAATATGCCTTGTCCTCTACGCGGGTTGTGTTCCTTTTTGATGCCCATGTCATTTTCTCGCGTATTCTATCTGCCTGAGGTTCAAAACTACGTAGGTCATTCACTGGAATTCCAGTAACATGCCTAATGGTTTGTAAGATGTCGTCGTCATCTTTGTCGTTGAGGAGGGTGGTAAGAAGTGTCCAGTCTTTCATGAAGAACTTCATACGCTTGGGAGCTAGAAGTTCCTGGAGTGTCCAGCCCCTGGAAAACCACACGCTTTCTTGCCAATAATTAGGATTCTCCACATCTCCTAGATACACGATGCATGCCTTGGCATTCCGGTACCAGGAGAACATGGAGCGAATAGACTCTTCGAGGTCTGCGCTGCTGTGTCCATCGATGCAGCAAGTATCCGCCCAAGCCCATTCGCAACCAAAGCCATGAAAAGCCTCCCTGCAAAACCTCCGCAACTTTATATATCCTGAACTTCTGCTTGAATTGCGTATCTTATTTTTCTGGATGTCTTCAAAAGACACTTCTCCTGTGCTGAACCATCGGTGGGATAAGATAGCGTACGCGAGCTTCGTTTTGATCTTTGCCAATATGATCTCGTCATCCACTTTTTGTGCGCCTTTGTATGATGTCGCCACCTCCGTGATCCACTGGGAAAGATACTGCTTCATGGTTTTTCTGTGCACGAGTTTCATGTCTGGTAAGTGTAGAAGGTATATTGGGATGTGGTTATGCACGTATTCATCGACCATATGACGGATATTCTCTGGGGGATTCATGGTGGTGAGGACACTTGAAAATGGTAGATAGTTTTAAGAGCAACGATGCTCGAAAGGATACCAAAATGAGGCTACCACGAGGCGTCGGGACTTCCTCCAAGGCGCCCAAATTTGAGTCGTATTATCCATACAAAGGATGGTAGGAATAGCACAGGAAAGTCGGCCGCAGCTTCCAACAGCTTAATTATGCACTAGGTTAATCTCAATAACTACACAAGCAGGCTTTTGCATACGAACAAAGCTTGAAGTATCCAACTTGAAAGTCGGTGGCGAAGCAGCTAACGCTAAGATGGCACGAGAACCAGCCAGATCGACACTTTTGTTAAGGACAACTGAATTGTAATTAAGCACTGTGCGCATAAGTACCAGTAAAAGTACGACGGCTCACATAATTACTAATGTAACATGCGCAATGTACTCGTCAATTCTTTTTTTTGTTTTTCTTTCCAGACGACAGTACTGAGTCGAACCTGAAAGCGGAGACAGCTTCGGCCTTTGGGACTTCTATCTCTGCGACGTCAGGGAACGAAAATTTAACCGGAGACGGCGACACATCAACCAAAGGGTTTGTCACGGGCTCAGTGGCCACTTCCTCCTCGATGGTGAGAGCGTCGGGATAGTGCAACATCAATAATTTTTGATGAAGCTTGACGATCAGCTCGGCACCGTGAGGTACTCCTCCTCCTGCAACCCGCCTTGCAAGGCTCGGGAGCTGATTCGATACAGGTTTCGACGCGATGTGCTTGTAGAGGACATCGATTTCCATCTTTAGCACCTCGGGGTATCTATGTTGATGCGACATGATATGAAGCGTGCTTTTATGAGATATGAACTCACTTTGATGTGAGGCTTGAGCCTATTTCCTGAATGATATTGTGCTCTGAGAGACTGTCAGAGATCGCACTAAACGCAAGCTTCTTCAGCCGCTTAAAGCCGACCTTCGTAGCGCTATTCATGAATAACAACACCCCACCCCGCGTCAAGGGAGGAAACACTCACTTTGTTGGCCAGACGGTACATCGACTTCGGAGAACACGGTGGAGGGCCGTTTGGGTTGGCTTCTATTGCCATATCTCGTATCGTTTTGGAGTCTGTGGCAGCCTGTGATTTGAGTGGCGACCACAATATTTGATCTGTGTAAATGTAGAAGAGCAACGCTTGCCACCTAGTCAGAATTGCCTTGCTCAGACTAGTCCCGTGCATTATTGACAAAGGTGACATACGTTCTAAAAGCCGTATCCTTCACAAAGAGGTGACGACTGTGTATATATCGCGGTGGGCACACATTTTTAACCTTTAGTTGGGTAGGGACAACGACAGGTCGTGGTGTCCAGGTGCCAAAACCAGCAATTGCCCCTACTTCGTCGTCGGTATCATCTTTCGCCATAGCTTGACAGTTACCGTCTTTTTCAGTCTGCCATTCAGTTTGTTTGGAATAGCTGAAGAAAGTGTAAGTTTCATGGAAACGCTGCATGCAGAACCGCATACCATTTTCCTGGGAAAGTCATTAGAACAGATTCAGTTGGGTGATGTCTACGGTAAAGAAATTGAGCTTACCTTCAAATTTCACAGGCTGCGACACTGCTGAGCGGTCTAGGTCTTCCTCATCCTCATCCTCGAGATCGCTATCTGATGCATAATCATAATCATCCAGGGAAAGTCCTTCAACATAAGGGTTACGCTCAGAAAAATCGACTACGCCGTCAGCATCCTGTTTATGGACCAGGACTAACCAGCAATACGTTCCAGATAATCGACTGATCAGTATTTGACCTCAAAATGACAGGTATATTGCCACTCACGCTTGGTAAAATATTCTGAACCCTCAAGCAGGACGTCATTTGCGAATAACGCTCGAGGACGGATGGCTTTGTGGGACCGTACAGAGTGGGCTGTGAAAAGATGGAACTGGGTGTTGATGAGCTCTTCACCGAGAAGAGATTTTCGCAAGAGGGCGTCGACACGTTCGACTTTGGTTGTCATTTCAAGTTCAAGTTCAGTATTTTTCAGTCCTGACGGTCCACTTCAAGTCCATGTTAAACAGCGTGAGAATGGACTCTTAACAGCTGAGTTAAAATATTGCTCAGCGGCAATGATACTGCCATTAACTATAGGTGAATAGTTCAAATCAACTCCTACACATTGAAACCTCACGTCTCGCAAGATATTCAAAGTACTAGTCCAAATCTCTCCATCCATATCAGTCGTCTCAGCATACTAGTATCTAACGGGAGTTTGGAACTGTGTTTATCATGGATGCTGAACAACCTAGTGGGGGTGAAATAGCCCCACCCATAGGTAATTCTCTTAACTCACTACAACAGGCCAATAGGATCAATATATTTCACATGCGTGTGATATGACCAGTGACCCACTTTTTTCTTCTTCTTTCTGTTCTTCTTGCCCCCATCGGGATTTCTTCTATTCCAATAATAGCCCGACATTCTACATCCGTCGTAACGCAGACGCCTGGTACCTCAGGTGGCATCCCTATGTCAATCTCCCGCACCTCCGTCCGCTCGCCAAATGGCAAGCCATTGATTCTAGTTGCCAGAATAGATACATCCATTTCATCTGTTTTTTCTTCACTCGCAACTATGCACTTCATCGGATAGTGCTCAGTCGGTACCCTCCGATAGAGCGCAACAATGATCTCTGCTCCATGTGGTAGCTTGCCCTGCGCTATTCGCTTAGCAACCTCAGGGAGTCCATTCACGACTGGTCTCGAAGCGATGTGTTCGTATAATTTATCGGTTTGCAATTTCAACACCTCGGGGAACCTGCGAAGATAGATGATAAAGGTGTAATTTGTTGAAAAGAGTCTTGCCCACTCACTTTGACGTGAAATCCGAGCTCAGTTCCTCGAGAATATTACTCTCTGACAGGCGCGAAGAGATAGCATCGAATGCAAGTTTCTTGAGTGGCTCCGAGGCGATCTTCAGTACCACCATCGTGAGTAGGGTGCTGTATGGTTACAAAACAAACATTTACCTTAGTAGCAAGACGGTACATTGACTTGGGCGAACATGGTGGGGGGCCATCCGAATCTTCTACAGTCGTATCTCGTGTCTCTTTTGAGCCCGTTTGCGACTTGAGAGCCGACCACGATATCTGATCAGTGTACAGGTAGAAGAGGAGGGTTTTCCAGCTGAACAAGTCATTGGGGGTCAAATGACTGAAGGGAAGAAAAGGGAAAACGCACGTTCTGAAAGCAGTGTCCTTCACAAAGAGATGGCGGCACTGTATTAAACGAGGTGGGGACACGTCACTGGCACTGGCTGTAGGGACAACGGTGGATGGTGGTGTGGTATTGATGCTAGAAGTATATTCTCTTTGATTATCTTCTACGTTCCCAGTGAGCTGAAGACTACTATCTTCTTCAAATAGCCATTCACACATGTCCACTTCTTCCGGGGGACTAAGGAGGGAGTTGGTTTTAGGCCCTTCTCCTTGCTTAGAACGTTTATCTGAGAAAGACGGCAGAATGATGAGTCGGATATAGCGCTTTCAGCCAAATCGCTAAAATCTCACTTTCTTGAAATTCAATTTTCGAGGGTTCTGAGACCACTGGAGGCTGTGAGTCTACGTCCTCTTCATCTTCAAGATCACTATCTGATGCATAACCATATTCATCCAGTAGTAGCCCACCACTGTAAGGACAGTGCCCCGAAAACTCGATCACAGCGTCGACAGCTTCCTTCTCCACCAGGACTACCAGAATGATGTCCTCATTCAAGGATTTCGCATAGGATACTGGTTTGGTACTCACGCTTGGTAAAATAATCAGAACTCTCCACGAGCAAGGCATCACTTGCGAACAACACCCGAGGACGATTGGCTTTGTGTGATGAAACGGAGCAGGTTGTGAAGAGATGGAACTGGGTGTTGGTGAGCGGTTCGCCGAGAAGAGATATTCTCAAGAGATTGTCAATGCGTGCTTTCTTTGCCGACATCTTGATGGTCAAAGTTTCGAGAGGAAGTAAGGACCGTACTTGCGAAGACAATGACCGCTGGGTGGTGGGTACCTTATATATACCGCTTTACAGAATATGCAAGAGGCGCAAGGCATGTTGTGCTTCTATGGTAGGCAATTCTATAATAGATTTGCGAATCCAGTCAATTGTGTCGATTCCCTTGGTAAAGTCTACTTGCTGCGCCGTTACACCCTAGATAACGAGAGATCTGCAAGAAGACCCTGGGATTCACAATCTTTGCTGTTTGCATATGTCTGTGTATAAATGTAGATGAATCAATGATATGACAGATACGGACATATTTTGTGATACCCACTGGGTATTACAAGGAAAAACTCTCGGACAACCTAATAATTGTGAACGTCTGAAGCAGTGGCTCATTCCGCCAGGGCTTTCAGGTATCTATACACTGTGCTGCCCTGCCAGCCATATAGTTGCCCTAACTCCTATACCAATAAAGACAAGAACATTATCAACAAAAAACGAACAGTGTGCATAACCAACGCAGAACTTACCATCTTCAGCTATTCCCGCTACTTCCAGTCCCGTCATTCTAGTAGTAGAGATCGAGTAAAACTTACAATACAACTATGAAGATATGAAGATATAATGAGAAAATCATCTAGTCAAATCGCATGGAAAAGGAATGATGTTGACCATACATACTACATAGACAATCTTTCGAGCATCAACCATGTCATATGTTATGATTGTTACTCAGTTAAAAAAGGACTAAAACCAAACAAATTTGAAATTTGGACTGACAATAACTTGTGTATTGTAGTTGGATATGGAAGATGCTCAATTTACTGCCCAGCCTGGTGGTCGTCAGTAAAATCAATTTAGAGTATCATATGGAGGACTTGCCTATACTGAATTGACATAGAATATTGAACCCAACTTGGCCGAATCATGTTGTAAGCGTGGAAGTGATTTTGAAACTGTAACACCACAATGCAAAGTGCCGTTCACAGAAGCAGGATAACATGACCTTGGGCGTTATATGTACTACGCTAGTCTCAAAAGAGACAGAAGTCAGACATTTGGAGCCAATGGGTGGGTATAAAGGCCACATGCTCACCTACTATTGCAGAAGTCCTGAGTTAAAGTGCCAAAAAGAAAGACCCTGCTACAGATATCACATACTCGTTTCCCACTATTATCTTACTGACGGTTCAAAACTTTATGAAGGTGTAGGAATGAATAACAAAAGTCATACAACGGCCTATCCACGTTCCTGAAGCTGTGAAATAAAAAGGTCATTCCATGCGTGCCAGCGTTCATGGTTGTCGTGTTGGTCCGCAATGGGCCCATGGGAGAAACAGCTTCAAATCCAGTATGAACAAACGCCGTACATTTCCGTATTTCCCAGTAGCCTCGCGATCTAGTTTGAACAATTTAGCTCAGATAAGTCAACTGCACTGGATACAAGTTCGAAGCCCTGCTGGGAATAGTACCGTTTCCCTACATAATGCTCAACATTATCCACCTCGCATTACTTCACTATCCATCCGTGTACCCTAGTCATATACCATCGCGCTTCAAATCATCAGACCACGACTCGTACCCCGTAACGCTCTCCGTCAGATTTTCAATCTTCTGTTTATAATTCTGGACGCAATCCTGGCCCAAAGGTAAACGTAGGGGAATTTGACCTGAATCTACGAGCTTGTAGATAGCACTGGCACCCTTGTTAACATCCCCTGGGAGAACTGCATCCAATATGTGTTTGCGGAAGATGGTCGTAGCAGAAGCGGGATCGGAATAGGCAGGATGTTGCGGCAGGACTAACGCGCTTGACATAACGTTGGTATGGAAGATGCCTAGGTTGATTATACAAATCTACAACCAAGATAAAAATGAAAGCAAAAAAAACGTTGAGGCAAGGTCGTGACAAACCTTTATGTTCCAGGCAGGAAGTAACTCTCCAGCAAGACCTTCGCTGAAGCCCTCCAGTGCTATAGCAACCCATAAGCTGTGTTGTATTTCGATGAAGACAATACAAGCGTACCATGCTTGCTATATGTAGGTGTATCGAGCACGACAATCAGCAAGGCAGAAATTATCTTGAAAGAAACGAGGATCACCTGGCGCCGTAAAAGCTTGCTCCAGGCATCGGTATCAGTGCTGCCAAAGTAGAGGCTTGAAGCAAAATTCCTCCAATTCCTGGTTTGTTAACTTCACGGAAGAACTTGATAGCTCCTCTAGTGACATGAACTGCCCCCCAGAAGTTGACATCAAAAATAGTATGCGCAACATCGTCAGGAGTACCCTCGACTTCCGATAGGTGCCCATACCCAGCATTGTTGAAGACAACGTTAATTTGGCCAAACGTTTCCTTAGCACGCTCGAATGCCGCCTCGATGTCGCCATGCTTCGTTACGTCCACTCCAATGACGAGGAGTTTATCCTGGCCATACTTGATCTGGAGATCCGATAGGATATCGGGTTTGCGTAAGGTAGCTATGACTATCTCGCCATTCTTCAGAACGAGCTCTGTCACGGCTCTTCCAAAGCCAGATGATGTCCCAGTAACTGTGAGAAGATAATCATATGAATATTTACTTCTTGAGATCACTGGTTATTCCTGGACGTACTAAACCACACACGAGGGAGCGTCATGACCTGCAATTCAAATTATTGAGCTCTATATGGGCCAAGGCACTACATTAGAGTCCAAAAGTATTATTATTACTGAAATCACACACCTGAGTAGTACTTTTGCAAAGCTAAAGTAGCAGGAGAAATCCACCTTCAAGGATCCTACACGATGTTTATTGAGAGCAGAACTAGAGACTAGAGACGGCACCAGTTATATAGCCATCTACGGAAATCGGTTAGTGATAAACCGATGAAAAAGATAGTCAGGAAGTCTAAGCCTGTCACAGAAAAGAAATTTCTTACAAAGGCATGAGACCGTTACTCATTTAATAGTATTTAGCATTGAAAGATACATCTGTCAACTCAGATTAGCACTACAATTTTGCATTTGCGTCAGCCTGAGTACATGTGCTAATGACCAGAACAGGAAATCTCCGAAATCGATATGGCACATCCCTCAAAGATACGACGCTCCGACCAGTCCAGGACCCCTGTTTGTCCCTACCGAACCCTGATCACCTTCTTTTTCTGTAAAGACATCATGACCGCTTGCTGATCATACCTGGTGCAGGTCTCAGGAATAAGCCTTTGAAACGAACCTCAAACTTGAACTGACAACAGACATCCACGTAGCTGAACACAAGCTTCGCTTTCCACCACTTCTGACCTGGTATACTAATGCCATCCCTTTCATCTAATCTTATTTCACGAACACCGTGTTCAGAGATTCTTCAAATGCTTCGTTAGAGCCAAAACGACGTTTGACCTGAATGATATCCTCTGTCAAAACCTTTCGGTATTGTTGCGTGTCTGAGCGCAACAGTCGCAAAAGGAGAGCCTGGTGTTGATAGTCCACCTTCGGTACTAGTTCATTCAATATGTTGAACCCGGCTGATTCTTTGCAATCCAGGATTACTAGCCTCAACGAACGCGGAGTGGTTAACTCTTCTTCCGTCTGAATGATGACCTCCTCCAACATTTCCACTTGCAGTTTGTACGTGCGAACACGACCTTTCTCCCCAATGATCCGGAAATCATTTATTTCGAGTAAAGGGAGCGAAAGTTTTAGTCCCCTCTGAGTCAACTCGAACGATGTCTGCGCACTTATGGCGGTCATGTGGCGTCGACGTAACGCAGAAAGCACCCAGCGAGGAATGTTGATAGCATCAAAGTACTCGTTGGTATCCTGACGAACGCGTGCTTGTATAGCAAGATGGCATTGTCCCAGCTTAGGATCCAACTCTTTTATGGTAGTATCAATTTTTCGAGAGGCTTTGTCAATGGCAGGGTCGATGGCAGCTTTGATGTGAGCACGAACATGCCTTGTGAGGTCATCATCGTTATCAACATTCAGTCCAAGGTCTAAGTCAGACACGAGAGCTGAACCCATACCCGATACGACTGCCAAATCTGTGGTCATGTCACCACACACCACAGCGATGGGTAAATCATTGGTCTGGTTTTTCGATAAAATAAAACAATTTTGCTGGTTCCCCTCGATGACATTGAATTCGGAATGGGCTGGGGTGCGCCGGGAAAAGAATGTTTCCTCTGTGAACGCCAGACTGAGAGTGTTATGTTGGAACTTGTTGAACTCCTCGTCTGGTGCAAAGTTTCCATCGTCGTCATAAGGTCCGTCTCTAGGAGCATAATTGCTATTCCCGTCCACATTGCTATTCCCTTCCACATTACTATTCTCTTCCACACTGCCGTCCGGTTCATCCTCCCGGGCGTTAGGGTAATACTCGCCCTCCCCACCGTATTGACTATCTTCGTTGGGGCAATACTGACTCCTCCCGTCGTCAGTAAATTCTACCTCCCTATCATCTTCGGTGGACCCATCAATGGACCGATCATATCCGTTCGTCACCGCTCGACTATCACCATCTACGCTGTCGCCATTGGTAAACACTCCCCCCCTACCTCCGCGTCCAGCGGATCGCTGGCCACCTCGGTTGTCAACAAGTTGACGATCATTACCCAAAACGAGTTGATTGCCACGATTTCCACCATTCACGACTCGACCATTGCCATTCATAAAGACCTCGCTATTCCCGCGGCCATTGCCCCACTGACCCCTGTCGTCAATGTCCCAATGCCCTTCATCCTCGCTATCCCACTCGCTTTCGTCGTCGTCATCGTCGTCATCGTCGTCATCATCATCTTCCTCCTCTTCTTCATTCCGGTATCCTTCCGACCACGGTGCTTGTGATGGTTTGAATAAGGCATTTTGACCTCGCGCCTCGGCTTTTTCAGAGCTTTGGCATGCATTTATCAATGGCAATGAATAAGTGCAAACAATACTCGAACTTACCTCTGCAAGAGAGAAAGACTGACCATGTTCACCTGAAGTTCCTTCACGAAGTGAACAAGCGCTCCTGGAGTATTCGTGGCTTTTTCCTGGAACTCAGACACATTGGTAAGATGAAGTCGACCAGGGCGTTGTAAGACGATAGAACGACGATTTCCATACTGGAATACAGTCATTTGTTTGCCACGTATGTAATTAGAGGCACAGAATTGCTGCCATTCGCTCCAGACGTCTTCAGAAGCCATGTCTGCAGCTACCATTAACTGAATGTTGGTGATGGCTTTGGCGTCAGCTGGATATCGAGAAAAACATTCTGGACCTGCAGCGATGGCGCTGTTGTATTTCGAAGGTTCCCCCTTCCACAGGAATAAGCCCCAGTCATTAGTGTTGCGGACAATCTCCACCTGCAACCTATAGAAAGCCCTTTGTCCCTCCCCATAAGAGATCGACAGGCTGACGTCGAGGATACCGATCAAACAGTATGCCATATCCTCAACACGAGTCGTTTTTCTTTTCGATGCCCAGTTTAGCTTCTCTCGTATCCTATCTGTGCTCGGCTCGAAATTCTCCAGATCATCCACTGGAATTCCCGTCACGGCACGTAAGACTTGCAGTACTTCATCATCTCTTTTATCGTTAAAGTTGTCAGTTAGAGGTTTCCAACCTTTGACGAAGAATTTTAGTCTCTGCGGCGCCAGCAGCTCTTGTAAAGTCCACCCGCGAGAAAACCACTCTGATCGATGCCAATCGCGTGGTCCCGTCACATCTCCCAAATATGCTATGCACACCTTGGCATTCTGATACCAAGTGAACATAGAACGGATAGACTCTTCGAGATCCGCACTACTGCCCTTGTCGATGCAGCATGTGTCCGACCAGCCCCACTCACACTCAAAACCCTCGGTTGCCTCAGTGCAAAAACCTTCCAGTTTCTGAAATCCTGCACTAGCCTGTATATCCGGGGTCAAGTTTTGGATATCTTTAAAGGTGGGTTCGCCTTCGTCAAGCCATCTGTGTGAAAAGATGGCATATCCAAGTGCCTTTCGCATTTCATTTCTGACGTCCTCCTCTATATCCTTCATCCGCCTGCCCTTGTATTTCTCTTCCATCTCTTCAATCAACGGTGAAATGGTTCTTCTGACAGCATCCCTTCGCATGAGCTTCATCTCCGGAAGATAAAGAAGGTAGATCGGAATGGCATTGAAGACATATTCGTCAAATATACCACGAATTTCTTTCTGCAGGCTCATCTTAGAGTAGAGGAGTGTATGACGTTGCGAAAGACGAGGTATGACAGTATGGGGGGATTCGTAACTGGTAGATAAAGAACCGATGTATACCCCCCTTTAAGTAGCGTAGCTTCATCTTGATAACATCTATTGGACAGTGGCGGCGCCATTTTTGATAGGGCAGTAAAGACAGTCCAAGTGGGTGAACCCTGAGACCTGGTGAACGAGTTTTCGGCGCATGCTTGCCTAACTCATTGGTATCTGACCATGAGTGAGCCAGAATAACTACATTTCGGTGTTGCGCAACTTGATAAAGACTACCTTGAGCTGGTTGCCTATCTAAATGACCGCCAGTAAAATCTGAGGCCAGTGTTTGTCAGGCTAAGGACTAACTTTCCCTAGTTAAAATGAACTCAACCAGACCAGAATTAGATTGGCAGCGGTCTTGGAACAGCTGTTGTCCTCCGAGCAGGTCTGTATAATAATACGCCTTCTGATGCTTTGCAGTACTGGTCTGATAGCTTCGATGATTCAAAAAGGGAAGAATCCAGATGATTCCGCTGATGTGTAGATTCGGGGCTCACTTGTCAAATGCAAAAGCTGGGCCAGGGGTATCTTCTATGTTGCGTTTGTCCATCTATTATCAGAGGCACACCAATAATGGTTGATATTTTCAAAGTGTACTGGGATGAGAAACAAACGAAAGTTAGGAAAACGAATGATACACTGGCAGCGACCAAAACTTGAAAATGGATGGCAATAGTAGATCAGCAATCACGTGACCGCGTTAAGGGTGCGACACGCGACTACCACGTTTTCAGTGGTATTCATCCAACAATGGATACGAATGGTTAGTAAAGTTCGATAGACACATGGAGGGCAGAACTCAAGTCCTGAGGAATGACATCAGGAAGCGACGTTCAATATTCGGTTCTAGTAGTTCATTGGAGGAGTACAAAAAAAGTACATGAAGATGTCATCGCTAAAAGACGTGCTATGTTACGAAAAAGACCCTACCAAGATCCCCATGCAAATACTTTGTTATACACCTTATTTCTATATGGACGAGTTCTGCATGTGGTGGGATTTACTTGAAAGTACGTGTGTTTCCTTTCTTAACCCCCATACGAGGTGGTGGGGTGGTGTAGGTGCGAGCTTCAACTTCACAGCTAACCGGCTCTTCCGGCGCCAAATAGTAGTCTCTCCGAACTCTTTGACAAATACCGAGGATGATCTGCTCCCCTTGCAAAAGTTCGCCCCTAGATATTTGCTTCGCCAGACTCGGTAGTCCATCTTCCACGAAAGTAGAAGCAAAGTTGCTATGCAAAACGTCAAGTTGCATAGCCAAGATCTCAGGATACCTACACGAGGTATGTCATACGTAAGATTTTCAGCTCACACATCCTGAATGGTACTTACTTGGCTGTCAAAGATGAAGTTAGCTCCCGAAGAATGTTCTGGCCGCACAACCCTGCACGAATCGCGTCGAATGCAAGGCGTTTCAGCGACTCCAAGCCAATCTAAAGAACGGAATCTGTCAGTCACTACCACTTCACTATGACCACGTAGATAAACGAACTTTTGAGGCGAGACGATACATAGATTTTGGAGAACAAGTCAGGGGGCCATGAGGGTCGGTGGCTAGAGATAATGAGGGGGTGATGTCCGGCTCTGCATCCGCTTTTGAGATCTTAGATTTTAATGGCTTAAATTTTATCTTGTCCATGTACAAGTAGAGCAACAGCGCCTGCCAACTGGAATTTATTTGAATGGAAAAACCATGGATGAGAAATGAGAAAACATACGTCTTGAAAGCAGTATCGTTAACAAAAATTTTGCGGCTCTGAGCATTACGCCCGACCTCACGCGAGAGGCCCAAAGCAGGTATCTTTGGCAAGTATATGTCTAAACTGGGGACACTACAGAAGTGGGATCAACGATGTGCTGCTCGATGTGTTATGTCACAAAGCTATACCTTTTGTGGTCCGTAAAAATATCTTGTGCATCTCCTGATATGTCATATTCTCTTTCCAAACTTCACATCTCGTTAGTGAGTGTCTACTAGCTGTCACAGGCACGGAACACCATACCTCTCTTGACTCATGCAGGAGTCGACTAAATCATCGATGTCGCCGTGGTGGTTTTCAGAACGAGAACTAGAAAAAAAGATAAATAAAAATACTGGGGTGATAAGTCAGACAAACCCTTTCTCTGTAAATTGACACCATCATATGAAAAAAAAATTAGTTGCTTGGACTGAAGTAGAGGGTTATCATATGGACTACCTTGCGAAATGGAATTTTTGGGCAAGCCTGGTGTTACAATAGCTTGGATAGAGGGGTCATCCTCGTCCTCAAGATCGCTATCAGACGCATAGCCATAATCCTCGAAAGATGTTTCGCTGTATACAGGGTGATTGACATCGAAGTCGACTAAAGTTTTGTTGGATGGCAGATTGTTGCTGTTCAAGACTTTACCCGAGGTCAGAGATGTACGACGATAATAAGAAATACAGTCTACTTACGACTAGCGAAATAATCTGAGCTTTCCGACAGTAAAACGTTATTGGCGAACAACGCGCGTGGACGGCCAACTTTTCGAGAGCTACAACATCTAGCGGAATATAGATGAAATTGAGTATCAATCAGTTCTTCGCCGAGAAGAGATTTTTTCAATAAGCCTTCAATTCTAGAGTGTGTTGTTGACACCGTCATTGTTGAACGTTGCAAATGTGGATTTTTACCAAGGGAAGGCAAAACGAGTTGGCCACGTTGCTACTGGTAGTGAATAGGACCATATTTGGGTTGCGTGTACCTATTTACACCCCATTACAATAGGGGCTCAAAGTTTAGCGCTCGTTGAGCGCTGAGCGCATAGCACAGACGCCTATGTTAAGTAGGGTACTTAGCTGACAGGTCCTAGCTGTGTTCGCCGCACTCGTTCAAGGCTTATTCCATATCACTACTTAGCTTTACAACCAAAGGCAAAACCTTCTCGTCAGTGCCGCAGGATCATTCGATAGCCTGATTCACTTGCTTATGAGTCCGTGGAAGAGCTAGAGTAGGCCAGCGTATATATTTACACATGCGACGACTGTTCTACTCGAAGATCAGCCTGGGTGACTGAGAGTTTGTCACTTTTGTCACGTCACTATCACGCCAGCTGCAACGGTAGTGCACAAAAAAAAACGTCGAAAGTGCCATTGCCAAAAGACGCGCCAGTTTACGAAGTGAATCCACCAAGATCTGCGTGCAATACTTTGCTATATACCATATTTCTATATCAGCACGTGATAACGCACGAGGGATTTTTCTCTCCATAAGTTTTAAGGACGAGTTCTGCAGGGGGTAGGATTTACTTACTACCACGTGCTCTTTCCTTTCCTAACTTTTGTACGAGGTGGTGGGGAGCAGGGGCGAGGTTCATCTTTGAAGTAAACCGGCGCTTCCAGACACGCGGGCGTTGCGAAGACCGGCACTGGAGGATAGTGGTCTCTCCGAACTCTCTGATGAATCCCGAGGATAATCTGCTCCCCTTGCAAAAGTTCGCCCCTCGAGATCTGCTTTACCAGACTCGGTAGTCCATCTTCCACGAACGGAGAAGCAAAGTTGCTATGCAAAACGTCAAGTTGCATAGCCAAGATCTCAGGATACCTACACGGGGAGCGTGATATGTAAGGACTTGTGTCAACAACAAATCACACAAGCCACATGGGCACTTACTTGGCTGTCAAAGGTGAAGTTAGCTCTCGAAGAATGTTCTGGCCGGACAAGCCTGCACGAATCGCGTCGAATGCGAGGCATTTCAGCGACTCCAAGCCAACCTAAAGGACGAAATCTGTCAGCCACTACCACTTCACTATGACTACATACAAAAACGAACTTTTGAGGCGAGACGATACATAGACTTTGGAGAACAAGACAGGGGGTCATGAGGATCGGTGAGTGGTGGGAATGACGAGACGACATCCGCCTTTGCATTGCCGATAACCGTGACTATCGAGGACCCAGATTTCAATGGCTTGAATTTTATCTTGTCCGTGTACAAATAGAACAAGAGTGCCTGCCAACTAGAATATTTTTGAACGCAAGATCATGGGGTAGAAAAGATAAAGCATACGTCTTGAAAGCGGTATCGTTGACGAAGAATTTACGGCTCCGAGCATAACGCACGGCCGCACGCGAGAGGCCCCAAACGGGTATCTGTGGCAGGGGTGCGTCTAAGCTGGAGATACGAGATACGAAAGAAATGGGATCAGTGGTGTGTGATTTGATGTACTTTGTTATAAAACTATGCCTTTTGTGGTCCATAAAAATGTCTTGTGTATCTTCTGGTATGTCATATTCTCCTTCCAGACTTCACATCCCGTTAGTGAATGCGTGATAGTTGTCACTCCTCATCATACCTCCCTTGACTCATGCAGGAGTCGACTCCATTGTCGATGTCGCCGTGGCGGTTTTCACAACGAGAACTGGAAAAAAAGATAAATACAAATACTGGGGTGATAAGTCAAACGAACCTTTTCTCTGTAAATTGACACCATCATATGAAAAAAATTGAATCAGTTGCTTGGACTGAAGTAGAGCGTAAAAATATAGGACTACCTTGCGAAATGGGAACTTTGGAAAAGCCTGGTGTTACAATAGCATGGATAGAGGAGTCATCTTCGTCCTCAAGATCGCTGTCAGATGCATAACCATAATCCTCGAAATATGTTTCGTTGCAAATGTCGTGATTATCTTCAAAGTCGACTAAAGTTTTGTTAGCTGGCAGATTATTACTGTTCAAAACTTTATAGCGTAAAATGAGGTCAGAAATATACGACTATAATAAAGAATGCAGTTTACTTACGACTAGCGAAATAGTCTGAACTCTCCGACAGTAGAACGTTATTGGCGAACAATACACGTGGACGGCCAACTATACGAGAACTACGCGATCGAGTGGAAAACAGATGGAATTGGGTATTGATGAGCCCTTCGCCAAGAAGAGACTTTTTCAGTAAGCCTTGGATTCTAAAGTCTTTTATTGACATCGACAAGTTGAATGTTGACGAAGTGGATTTTTTGATAGGAGATTATGGGAGGGGAAGCATACTACGATGGTTGCTCGACAAGGTTTTTATGATGCTCATGAAGGAGCATCACGGTAGATCAGTATTGGAAGATACTCAACATAATTCGCAGGAGAAAAGGAAGAGATCAGCTTCGATGGTAATGCACTACTTGCCCAATATACGATGCAAGTCCAGAAAAATGGTAGAATATCACGTTGAAAACGAAGATGATCGGGAAGCCATAGCATATTTTCATCTACCATCCCATTCTGCTAATCGTGCGGGTCACGAAGCACAGCTGTTTGGACCATATTGAATGCCGTAGTTTGCAAGACCGGAATGAATAAAACATAGTAAACGAAGATGAGACGGAAGGTATCCCTGAATTCAACATCGAGTCCCTATCCTAGTAGAGCAAGCTTTGAGTAGAAAAAGATAAAATCAAACATGATCCTCAAGGAAGAAAAGCAGCGGTAGTGAGCCTGCGAAGAGAGATAACGTCCTTGACACCAAAGACAGAAACCTCAGCACTGTTCGTATGGATGCAATATCTTTCGATACCCCGATTCACTTGCTTATGAGTCCGTGGAATAGCTAGAGTAGACCAGAGTGCATAATGCACGACAACGGCTGCTGGAGAAGGAGCCAGCTTGAGTGACTGAGAGCTCGTCACTTCTGTCACGTCACAGTTACGTCCGTGGCACTTGCTTTCGACAGTTGCTCTTGACTCGAACGTTTGCTAGTAATCATCCATGCGGATCTTGAGGCGGAAGATATGTTTTTGCTGCATGCATCGTGTTATCTTGTTATCTTCGATTGGGTCTTTATGTCGGCGGACTCTTTCAAAATTCCATGCTCCACCGTTCCATCTCAATCAAATCTTGACAGTACGACGACGGTAATACCGTCACCGTTTTGTCTATGTTCTTTTAAATCTCTATGAATCCCAATCTCAGCGACCTTCGGCCATGGTTATCTAGAGCGGCGACGAATATACATGGTATGAACCACAACAATGGATAGTGCGCTGTTACTCGGTTGGCGTGAACTCGAAGGCTCCAGGCAGTCTCCTGTGATACCGTGAAATCGAAATCGCCCCCATTACCCCACCAAATCTTTGTAACACAAAGGGCATAGGCGCCCTTGATGACGTGCTCTCTACTGGCTGGTCGGCATTACCTTTGTTGTGAGGATCGCCTATCTAAGTCGACCAAACTGTCGGTCAGTAGGATTAGCGAACGAACAGCCACTTCATTGACACTTTGTCATCCACCGACTTGGCGTTGAAGCAATCCGTCAAATTGACGATCTAGCGCTGCGCGCCCGCTTTTGCTCTAGTTCTTCTACGTACCACTAGTGCGTCGTACTATATCTCGCTATGGTCTAGTTCGAGCTTGATCCTCCTCAGCTGACCTTCTGATCTGATATCTGATCGCAGTTCATACAACAAATCCGCTTGATGGGGCCGGTTTCCTGTCAAAAGTTCATTGTGACCTTTATCCAAGAAGGGGCTACTCTCATGGGCAAAGGGCATAGCAAAACGGCCGTAATCGAATTCACCGTCACCGCCACGTACCTTGAGGGACTCCAGTCATCTTATCTCCGCTTCGAGGCTACAACCCCCCTGTCTTTTTTATGGCTCCGCTAGACGAGCCCCAGGAGGTAATATTGCCCATGGTCACATTTTCAATTAAGGCCCGTTCTTCGTACCAAGTCCTTTGACAAAACGTCTTCGCGATAAGAGTTATGGTTTGAACATGTGGGGTTTGGGATCAGTTGGCTTCGGAGCTTGTGACTTGGTGATTGTACTGTTGTGCGCTAATCATAACTCTCGCTTCATCCGCTACGTTTCCCAAGTTGGATGCGTCAACTCCATCTCAAAGGCTTCCTCGAAGACCGGCTGTTCTGTATTCTAGATAATCAATAGAAACAGAAGACCCTTTGTTTTGTTGGCCGATAGATCAGGCTCGACGGCCTTGAAGAATGTATATGAGTCACATTTAGCAGCATCAATAGAAGGGACGCTCATTAGGAGTAAGCCATCAGTAGACCTCGTGACCGTTATCAGAACTCTGGAAAACGAAGGCAATTTTAACATTAACCCTCACTTGCCTTTGTGTTCCGCCGGCGTCCTTCACCTAGTAGATGAACGTGAACCGTAGGCCCCCTTATCGAACGCAAGCGTAAAGTGCAGCGAGAAAAGTAGATAATAATATTTGGGGACTTGATATGCGAAGCCCTTCGCGATGCTACGTTCGTACACTACCATCCAAAAATATATATGATGGTTGAAAAGGAGTGGAAAAATGGAAAAGTCAGATATATGAAAGAACAGCTACAACTAAAAAGTCACCAGATGCAATGCGACATGCGTCTACTGAGAGCAATGATGAGAGAATAAGCGGAAGAAACGGACGGGAAGATGAATGAAACAAAAATGATAAAGGAGAGTTAGAGATCAAAGCACTAACGGACTCTGCAGCAGTCAGAATGTCTGCATCGCCGAGTCGTAGAACTCTGCTTGCGAGGATGAATGTCCGTGGTTGTATAGCGGGTCATTGGGGAACATAGGCGGATGCGGGTGGAGCGAACTCGTATGGGTTGATGGCGACTCGTCAGACGGCAAGAGCATGGGAGGGTGGAGATATGTCGCAAATAGAGTCTCTTCTTCCTGAGGTAACATCGGCGGATGGAGGAAGTCCATGGGCGTATCGTCTGTCGGTAGCATGGGAGGGTGGATCACTTGAGGCGAGCGATCCTGAGGAAGCATGGGAGGATGCCAAAACGTATTACCCGACCCACGGAGGATGCTATATGGCGAGAAAAAAGGAAAATCCATCGACGAGCGTCTCGACTGCGACGTCGCAGACGAATGGCCCGAGAAGCTATCGTTGTAGGAACTGAAAGAGACCGCAGATGACGGGGGTTCAGACGCCGAATCAGTGCTCATCCTTCGACGTTTGTTCGACCTTGCACCACTTCCCGAGTTTTCGGTTTCCAAAGCATCGACTGTCGAGAAGGGAAGAGCATCCGCCGGCGGATGGTAATTCTGATTTAGATAGTCTGGATGATAAGGACCTGGAAAGGGGTTGAATATGGAAGAATAACTGCTCTGCATCGAATAAGAGCCACTGTTCCCATTGTGATCTTGGCCGAGAGCATTCATTAACTCGGACTGAGTACTATGCATTTCCGACTCTTCGCTGTAGTCGTACGTGGGCTGCGTGGTCGAATCGGGAGCAAGGGTTGGCGACGGTTCCACAGTCGGAGATGCTCGGCGGCTGGCTCCTGGGCTCGCAGAAGGTGTCTCCGAAGTACCCGGTCCGACACGCCTCGCGTCATGACGAGAACGTTTGCGAATGACGTCCGACTTCATAGAGATGGGACGCGCCGACCCATGTAATTTATAGCTTGAGAAAATGGTTACTATTGCGCTGAAAAAAAGAGAGTAAAAAATATGACTTACTATAGACCACAGCTATCAGAGATAATGAATTCGGTTTCGTTAGGGTGATTTCCTGAGTCATGTTCTAAGTTACTTACGCGTTACATACAGTCTTGCCTTCATCATCCTTTCTCCAAAGGGGAGTGGCTGTCGTATGGCAATTATAACATTGCGCTACTTAAAAAGTCTGAGATAGAGAAGTCTATGATGGTGACGAAATTGACGTACCCATAACATCCACTGTCTCTTGACGTGGGGCAGCCTGAGTGCGACCTTCTCCATGGTTACTGCGCATACTTTTCGGTCGGGGGCGCTTGTGCTGACCAAAGGTGAGTATATGCGAATTGAAACAAAACGGATAACTAAACACACCAATTTACAATACAAACCGCAGGCATTACAATTGAGCTCGTCATTCAATCCTCGTCGCCAGAGTGGGGTGTGGGTCGCCCCACAATTCGAACATTCGGCCTTCACACCACCCGGAGCAGAATTGTTGTTCGTGTTGCGCAAGATGGCAGGATTCACATTGGTGGCTGTTGCGCCTGGCCCGGACGATCTCGTCACCGGAGAAGTCTTGACGGTTAGAGTTGGCCTTCCTGTGGGAGTGTTAGCGCCAGTGCCGGAACTCGGGCCGACTTTGGAAGGAACGACAGTCAAAGGCAACGCTTCTTTGACCGCCTGAGAGATTGGAGGAACGTGGCTAGAAGAGTCCGTTGACATCATCTCTAGGTCGGTATCCGAAGCCTCAGACACGTCGCGGTAATCGGTTTGGATGGGGAACATGACGATGTCTGACTCGACAACAGGCTTAGACTCTTGGTCGCTCTGGAAGTCGCCGTGGTGGCTGTACGGCCAATGGTTGTTCTCTGTCGGATCTACGTTGCTCAGCAACTCGTCTAGGGGAAGTTCGATAGTTGGACGGATGATACTGAACCCGTCAGAAGAGCCGTTGCAGCCAACGCCTTCCCCATAGTTCATAGAGGTGGTCAAAGTGGGAGTGGGGTATAATAAAGCTGATGGGCCAAAGTCGTTGGAGAACAGAGTAGGGAAGCGAAGGGTGGGGGTTTCCGCGTTACTGGGAACCCTGCGACGTCGTGGAACATCTCTGTCGTTAAAGTTAGAATCCGCGGAACAGTCGTTCGGGTCGTCATAGTTAGCAGATGATCGAGTTGTGGGCCGGCCTCGCTTGCCAGTCGCTTCCTTGAAGTCAGCAGAAGGCTTGAGGTCCGGTTTCTTCAAAGCCACGTTGGGAGTGGCCGGCGGGGGCTGATCGACACTGAAGGTAAATTGCATCCTCTTGATAGTGCCAGGTTTGGCATTTTGACTGGCTTCGCGACTGCGTTCTTTCTCGACTGCGCGCTGGCGTAAGAGATCGGACGAAGCGTTTCGCTTGAAATCGGGAGCCTCAAGCTCCTCGATACTCCTGCAAGTCGAGATAAGTTTAGTTAGCATAAAGCAGGGTCTAGGGTTAGTAAAGACTGTACGAACCTGCCCTTCTCTTTGTCCAACTTGTCTCCCATAGTCTTGGAGAGCTTCTTGAACTCACGTTTAGACTTGGCGTTATCCGTGTCGACAATGAGATTCTGCAAGTGCCACAGCCGCCAGCTCAAGTTTTCAAGGCGCTGGCCCTGCTCGAGGTAGCTGGCTACCTTTGTGCAGACCTAGAGATATGATGGTAAGCGCAACGTGGCGAGGATATTAAAGGGAACTAACCTTCCATGTCTTCGTGAGCGACTCGGTGTCGCCTAGATTACTAAACGCCACGAATGATTTGTTACCCTGTGAGTGAATGAGAATAAATGTCGAGGTGAGTACGGCTTGGGGTGGCTTCGCAAAATCCACCGACTTTAAACTTGAGGTTTAGGATGGAGGGCATTTACACAAAGATGGAGGATGCTGGGGTTGCAGAACGAAAGATAACTTTTGGCGAGGGTTAAAGGGAAAGTATAAGAGATTCGATTACAGCAGCACAGCTCCAAAATAATCTCAAGCGCACGATGCAAATTTTTACAGGAATCAAACCCCGCTTACTGCACATTTTCAACTCCGGTCGCTCAATGGCTTTCTTTCCATCATGAAATTCCTTATTATAAACTGAAAAATTACACTACGAAATTCATACGCTATATGTTCGAGCCGGATTCCGTGAAATGGTGATCGTACTCGTGTTGAACCGCACGCTTGAACTCGGCAGCTGCCCTTGTGCCTCATTCACCACTCTTCATTCCCTACACGTGTTAGCGTTCCATCTCCTGGGACTTTACTTACCTTGTGCCACCATCACGAAAAGAACCGAGCCTGTCGAAAACCAGTGTTGAACGTTGTCCAGCATACCTGATCCGGCCACACCTGAGATTCTGCCGACGTACACCCGGGGCGTCAATCCGGTGAGGCAACAGCTACCCTTGGATTTTCCTGTGACGATGCTGCCACCACCATACTCCGTACATCACGGATTTTCGAGGTGACTTCATCAAGTGGAACATTGTCGCCGGCGCTCTGCAAATTTCCATCTGCTTGCTGAAGCCGACCAAGCTATTGGGAGTAAACGCGTGAAAAACACAACTCACCAATTCTCTTGCCCCATCCGGAGCAGCACCCGGAAATTAATATCCTTCTAGAGAATAATAGAAATAAAAATCGACCCTCAGGGGAGCCGCCCCAATAGTACTGCAGTGACAAATGGGCGAAACTTCGTCCTCACGTACCTATTATTGCTCCCACCGCTCATCTTCTCACCACCACAACCGCTTACCTGAATAACTTCCTTCTATAGCAGGTATGGATGCGCTATAGCCTTGCCGAGCTATCCGGACGACAATGAAGATCCAGTGGCAACTATGCCCACTGCCCTGGTGTTTCTACCAACAGCAGCCCAGTTGTGCGAATACAGGTATCACGGGACAATGAAATGGCAGCCTTGAGGCATCTAGCTCCAACTTCGCAAGCGGAATGACCGCGCGAACTTGCCTATAAGTGGAAAAGGTGCTGTCGCTAATCGAGAATAGGCGCGAAGGTCAGTTATCTCTGATTGAGAAAAGAAATAATAAATTCGTACCTCATCTTCAGTTTGCTTCGTCAGATCAATTCATTGTCACGGGAATAAGGTCAAATCTCGTCCATCCGGGGCAAACTATGAAGGACAGCTGTCGAACTGCATTCCATTGCCCCCCTAAGGCTCCTAAGGTGCTGTTACTTTGAAGTACGACATCCTTGAGGAAACGGGCCACGACTGGGAGCTGCATAGAAGGTTGACCTGATAGGCTGCACCACCGCAAAGAATAGAACGGGAGTCGAGAACATGTATAATCCAAGTCTCCATATCTCAGTTGTAGTTGAGTATTTTTAGCTTATGGATAATAGACCACTGTTTTGAGATGAGTCGATCACACTTCCACTGACCTGGTAGGTACCAATCGGCGTCCAAGACCAATCGATAACGGCACGATCAAGGACCAGTAGAAGATTAGAATCACGTGCGGTCCAGGTAGAAGGCAAGATGTAGACACGCTGCGGAAACGAGGCGTCGATAGCTGAGATCTGAGGGGTTTGACAGTGGCGTCGAAAAACGTGGTGCTGAAATCGTGAAGTGGACCATGAAATGTAGAAAACGCGTGGTCAGAAGGTCAGAAGCCGCAAAGGGTTTGAGCTTGAGCAGGCAAGTTGATTCCAAAGGACAGGCGAACCTCCACTGCCGTTCTCTAAAAAAGAAATACCATCCACAAATAGCAGATCAACTTCAAGTTTTAGAGAAAAAGCCTTCGGCGGCGTACGAAAAGCTTTACAAAGGACTCTCATTGAAGGAAAAGCTCGATGGGCAGCCGTGCGAAATACAACATCCATGACCAATTTGGAGGAGCCCAGAGCTACGTTCATGGGGAGAAATTGAATGAGTAGAAATTACTAGATGGTTTCCTTACTCTTTAGTGAAGCTAAGAATTAATGTAAGATGTCAAAGGCGAGTACGTACAGAGCGTACTCACCGCAGAATACGAATACTGAAGAAATCCTGAGAGCGGAAATCGGTCATAGAGGCGAAATTATAGAAAGGCGAAATTATAGAGGCGAAATTTCAGAGAGACAAGACTCCACTATATCAACTGCGCGATATGCCGCTGGAGACATTTGGCCGCATTGCCAGCTATAGCTCGAGTATGCCTAGCTGCCCATCCAGAAAAATCGAGGAAAAAATACTCGATGTAATCACAAGTATATAGCGATAGAATTTTCGCAGCTAACAAGCTCGCAAGGTAGGCCCAGGAAAAATCCTAGGGAACACTACGACGGCCTCAGCTCAAACTGGCTATCTCTCATCCAATCGAGATGTGGATATTCGTGATCTGATTCTGCTACGATGATAGATGATCAGGAAATGAATACGTGTACGATGTTATGCACTCACACACAAGATAGAAATAAGACCTGACATAGTAATGTACATCCGCACCGAAACGGAACCGATGTTCATATGTTCAACCAAGAACATGCCAGTGCCAGTGGAAGCGACACGCAAGCCAGTGAGACGTCACGAAGGTCTCTGTCACATGTATTGCAATGTGATATATGTGACAGTCTGTGACCAATTTTGCTCTCAACTCCAAACCCTCCAGTTCGAATTCTACCGTCAACGGGTATGTATCTGGAGGATTAAGCTAAATGTTTAATGATTTGTACAGGTCGTTAAATTAATCCTGAGGATAATTATGCAGTCTGAAGCTCTTCGTCTCCGGAAACGCTCGGATTGTTCCGTGACATTAGCATGCCCCTTGGGGAGTTAGTAGACAAGTTCGGTGAGCTCATCATCAAACCGTATATTTGTACGTTTTATCAATCGTTATTGACGGTAGGGTGTCCATCTGTCTCACTTGGCTTCCAAATCTTCAGATGCGTCCATCATACTCCACCGTTTTTACGTCTCAGGTCAAGGTCACCGCCGTGCATTTTTTAGGAACAAATGTAATCTATCGAGATGCATAACGCAACCACCGCTACTCCTCAAATATGAACCAGACTCTATAACTAGCTCTCCATGCTCTCGAGTACAGCCGATGCACCGCTCATGAGGTAAATATTCCACGTACAGTGTGCATTCGACACCTTAACAGCGGTTCATCAATCTTCCCTGATGACGGCTGCCTCACTTCCTGGTTGAGTCTTCATTTGTATTTAATCCACCCTTTTTCTTCGACCTCACATGTCATACATGACATGTACCGTGGCGTGACTTAGGAGCCTTTACCGCCTGCCCGGCTTCGGGGAGTGTTATATTCAGGAAAGTGGAGTCGACACAAACCAACTCATACGACAACTCGCATCAAGAAATTCAAGGTAATCAATTGGTGCGTGTAAATGACAGTCCCTTACGATACCCAATACATCTATAGACAGTATACCGTAGAAGGAAAACAGATAACAGAAGCTCTGCCTTGCAGCACCATGCCGGGAAGATTGGTAACTGATGGGACCTTTAATGAGTCCGGAAACTTATGCGTACATACTGTAACAGTAAACTCCCAAGCAAACAAAAAATGACACTGAACAATACATGTCGAAATGACTCATTGGTTCTTATATGCCTCCTATTATATAAAACCTGTGAGAAGGGAAAGCGTCGAAAATAGTACAAGCGTTACCGACCTTGATCTCATTCTCAAACTTCTTCGCGATCTTGCTCCGCTGAATCTTCTGGGCAGCTGTGGTGAGACCATTCTCAGGTGTCCATTCCTCCGATGTCAAGATAATTGCCTGCAGAATTTCCATTGGTTTAAACCCATTCTTCTTACCAACAGCGTTGCACTCTTTCAAAACCAATTCTTTGACAGTCTTGTCATTGCACAAGTCAGGCAAGTGTGCTGACGAATCCACCGCTACCGACTTGGCCTCGAGAGCATGGCGGAGATTTGATTCGTGGGGAATGACGACGGCAATAGGTTGCTTAGCGTCCGCAGATGCATACACGCAGATATTGGAAATGAGATTGCAGGCTTTGTACGTGGATTCCAGTCTCTCAAGAGCGATGTACTATATACGTAAACGCCGTCAGCAGGACATCTCAGGGTCACGAACTGTGAACTGACCTCGCCACCCTGTAACTTGACGAGATTCTTGATTCTGAAGTACACTCAGTCCCTGAGATGCAAAATTCATCTTTTGACTCACCTATCAATCAAGGACAGGGTCCCGTCAGGGTTCCATTGACCGACATCGCCAGTTCTGAGCCATCCATCCTTCGTAAAGATGGATTCGTCGTTATTCAAGTCGTCTCTCTTGTAGTAACCCTTGGTGACCGATGGACCTCTGATGCAAACTTCACCTTGAGGAGGATTGTTAGTAGACAAATAGCCAGCATCAGGAACGTCCAGGAATTTAATCTCGATTGAGGGAACAGGGAGTCCAACAGAGCCATATTGCATATGTTCAGGGGGGAGGACAGCGCACATTCCACATGACTCTGTCATGCCATAACCTGTCAACGAAGGTTAGTTCAACTGGCCCTCGTCATCCCACGGAAGAAGTAGTCGCACCTTGCAACATCGTCACAAGAGCAACAGACAAGAATTCCTGAGTTTCGCGACTGAGTGCAGCTCCTCCGCTAAGCGCGAGGCGAAGTCTTCCACCAGTAGCTTGCTTGACACTGCTAAGTACGGCACTGTCGACAAATTGGCTGAGACCCGGGACATTCGCCTTCTTGACCGCCATTGCACTGTTGAAAACACTCTTCTTTATCGTTCCACTCGAATTAATCTTGCCAACAATGCCTTTGCGGATCGTTTCCCAGACAGCAGGGACGCCGACCATAATACTTGGTTTGAATGTAACAATGTCTCCTTTGCATTTTCGGACAGAAGCATCAGTGAGGGTCTTCACGCGACCATAGCCTGTCGTCATTCCAGAGAAGAAAAGAGACAGCTCCACGATATACTCAAGGATGTGCGCCAAAGGGAGATACGCAAGGAAAGAATCCTCAGGTAAGAAGTGGTGCCCAATGAGAGTGTGAACGGCGCCAACAGAAGCAATCACGTTGCCGTGGGTGAGGACGACACCTTTAGGCGCTCCAGTGGTACCGCTGGTATACATGATAAGGGCCACCTTATCTTTAGTTGGTTTTCTGTCGGCCAAGACGTCTACAGACTGCTCTTTCCCGACTTCACGTAACTCGTCGAGACTTAGTACTTGAACGCCCTCCCGAACTTTGCGCAGGTCATCGAGGACAGAAGAAGCTGCTTGGCCGTCATAAATGACTAGTCTGACAGAAGGTGTGTTTACGAGGACGCGCAAGAGTGTAGGAAGGAGTTCGGCATTGGTAAATACGCCAACACAGTTGGGTTCGTTAAGAGAATGGGTCAAACCGGATTCGCCAAGGGTATCGTATGCAGTAGCAACAGAAGTTGAGATTGACACGCAGGCATGCGACATCAACTGCCAGTTTACGCTATATATAACTCATCATAAAAGGGCGAAAAACTATAAAAACCGAGTGCAAGATGCTTACCTAGTTTGAGCATAAACATTGAAAATGTCCTCCGGAGTAATGCCAAAGTGAACGAGTCCACGACTAATCTCTGAAACTCTCTCCTGGACCTCGACAAAGCTGATATAATTGAAGTTGCTGAGCTGGAAGTATTTCCACTTCTTGATCTCTTTGATTTCCTTGCCTCCCACCGTCTTCTTCACTTCTTTCTCCTCCTCGTGGATATCGACGATATCTCTCCACCCCATGGCATTCTTTGTGCCGTGAGTGCGAGCAGCGTAGGCGAGAACATCTGGAATCGTGTCGATGCCCTCGAACGGCTGCGTGACAAGCTTGTCTGCCGTGATAGCCAGGCGACGCGCTTTGCTTTCTCCAGTAGTGACTTCTACTGAGCCCTTTCCAAAATAATTGCGTTTCGAGGTGGATGCCATGAGAGTTCGTGTGTAAGTCGTCAAAGGCTAAACAATGTTCAGATGCACAGGGTTATAAGGCTACGCAAGCGGAGTGAATGAGGGCTGCTCGGTGGCTGGAGCCTGGAGCCAAAAGCCACAGTTCAAACCCCATTGCTATATATAGTGAACGTGGCGTCGAGGACAGCCTAGTACTTCTACTGCCAAAAGCACCACAATAGCTACCTCAAACGGACCTCGACTGTCTCATGGCTGATCAACTTTATGCAACTCACAGAAGCTTTGATTGTGTATCAATGAAATACGTTGCTGCTATGGTGAGATGTTGCTTTTCAAACTGAATATCCAAGACCATGTCGTGCAGACATCTCTGTACCTGAGCCGCACGACCAAAATTTGATGAATTGGGTACGAATAAGAGAAATGAGTTATGAGATGGAATACATTTTCTGCTGTCCAATGCCTAGATTTACGCAGGCGTTGCCCACTCAGGTTCAGCTGTCAAGCCCCACTCCTCCAACCACTGCTCAAAGTACCCTGCAATCTTCTCATGACCTTCGGGAGTCGGGTGCAGATTGCTGAGTGCAGTAATTAGTACTGGTCCTACTTATGGCAAGTAAGAACAGAGACTTACGTAGGATAAACGTCACTGTATTCGACCCATCCCGTCGAGTTAACAAGGAATATATTTTCATCACCGATCGACCGTCTATACTCCTCGTTAATCAAGTTGAACAGTGAAGTTAACTCAAACGCACCGATAGTCTACTACTTCTTGATATATTCCAACGTAGTATGGAGCCGGGGGCGCATCAGCACTCGGCCAACCCCACTACTCGATTTTAGATATAACTTTCATGACTGAAAATGTCGACTTACTGGAAGGAATATGAAGAATGGCTGGGTGACGTAGATCGTTCGTATTCTTGCGAGGAATTCGAGATAGGTCTATACAAGAAAGGTACCTGTTAATTAACTGGTCTTCCTTCCAGGAGTAGCAACAATACGTACGTCATAGAAGACGGTGGAGGTCACATTGTTCCCGCTATCGTTCGCACTGAGGAAGACTCAATTAGAATGTTCATAGTAAGATGATCACGCAATAGTGCAAATGCAGCTTACCCAATCATTACAACAACATGCGTCGGAGCTGGGTAATCTCTAGCAAAGTCCCAAGGAGTCGTGTAGTTGTGGAGAGCATCTGTTTATGTGAAGCCAGAATTACATTTGAGTCCTAGTTGAACTTACCGTAGTAATACTGGGTATCCTCCGTCTAGCAAAATTTGTGTGAACAATCGGCTTATGTCAAAACAGTACGTGCACCTACTTGGAAGAATTGATAGCTCATCCCGTGCACATTGCCATATGAATCGATATCCTGCGATATAAAATCAGCGATTACTCCGGTTGGAAAGTACATGGTACACGCACCGTCAGCGCTATTCCGGGTTGTGCTTGAATATTATGTTCCGCCTTGAAATACTCGGAGGTGAGGAAAGGCCACGCTTGATCGACACCTTCCGGTACATATTGACCCTGAAATTTGGAAATTAGAGCGAGATCAGCCTTTCCTTATATAACGCCTACCGCAGATAACGAGTCACCAATGAACTGGAATGCAAGCTTGGAAGGCTCATACTCGAGTAATTGAGCACCCTATATCCAACGAGAATATATATTGGTTAACGCTTTTTGAGAATAGGAGCCACCTTCAACTCACAGCGTTAAGCTGAATACTCTCAAGATTCATATTATTCTCTTCCCACCCCTCAGAGTTAATTCTGATAACACTCGTCGAAGTCCCGGTGGGAATGGAACCAAGAGGGATAGCATTGGCCCCTTGAGTGGCATTCATGGTGAAAAAAGTCCCGTAGTTGACGGATATGCCCAATGCAACAGGGTCAGACGTATATGGACCGAGATTCAAGGTCAAGGACGACAAATTGTCGACATGTAATTTGAACCCTGAGCCAGTCCTATCATACTAGTTGAAGCCGAGGTATTATGAGAGCCGAGCGCTTACTCACCACCAAGTCTCTGGTGTAACATCCCATCGCCCGTTGTAGAATATGAGAGGATCGTCGTGAGCGATTAAAACATCCGCAGCGTCCGATGATTGAGCGACGGCACTAACTACAGCCAAAGCTGCGCATAGCCCACGCAGGAAAGTGGGGATCATGTTTCGTCTCATGAAGGGGCAGCGTGTTCGAAAAGAATTAACGAGTTTTTATATTCTGCTGCTGCTAGTTCTCTTCATCCTGGTGAATGGTCACGGGTTTCAATTACAAGGCCGAAAAATGTCCGTTGTATTTTTGGACGGTCAGGCCGAGGGAGATGAAGAAGAGCCATGGATCGTTGGTATTGCGATCTTTGTGGATGATGACCACTACTGGAGCCATGATTACTATACCATGAATGTTCAGCCGGAGGTTACGGATGAGAGGCTGATTCTGTACATTCATAGCAACTGTTTCGTCTCATGAAAACTTGGGTCATAAATAGCCAAGTTTTACGAGTGAGTATCCTTTTGATAGTCTTGAGTCGACAGAAACCCGACAAAAAAGCATCACTCACTGCCTCACATGGTTCCATTTTTTGGTCGAAGATGCTCCATATCGCGATTCATTCCATTATACCGGTGATAAAGGAGTTATGGTATTTATGTTGTGTCTTCAACGAATAATGCGTGGGTGACGAAATAAAGCCATGAAATACACTGTAAGTTTATGCAATTTCCGTGATATATGTTGAAGTGCAATGATGAGGTTCTTCTATTGATCGTTACAGGAGGGCCGTAAGACACGAGAAATCGAACGAACATCATGGTGAAGAACGCAGAAGTATTCTTCTGCCACGGTTCAGTGCGGTGAGCGAGGTCGGCCCGGCTATTCCGCTGTTACGAGTCCTTGTCATCCGCTTTTCAAAGTTCCATGTCAGTACTCTTGTTCTATATGGATTGTATATTCATCAGTCTTTTTCTCAAAGTGTCAAAGTCCTCGCGAGTCGTCGAGGATTTTCAGATATGTTCAGGTAAAATAAAGGCATTGCCTGGGCGCCATCACACAATGGACGTTGCGGCTGCTTTCGCGTCAGAGTTCTTCCAGCACTGCCAGTCGCTATATCTTTCCCCCAGAACGTTACAGGCTATGGGTTATCGCATCCAGTGTGTGCTATTCCGTTTCAGAAGTTTACTCTCAGGTCTTGCAATTAAGTTCACCTTTTGATAAGCCACCATGAGCCTCACCATCAGAACCACCACCAACTCATCGGTACATAGCAACAGCTACGACTTTTTCAGTTGGTCAAGCCGTTTCGTTTTAACCTTACCCCGGTCGGCACCACCGCTACGAACAGAAAGTTAATCCATTATCATTATCCGGACGAATAGAAGCATGTCAAGAGCATCATGGCCGAGTCCATTAAATTTATAAGAGTAGCCGTCATTTCTTGCTCTTGGTTAGTTCTGTAATTTCCATCATGTCAAGATATGACTCATTATATCAATGGTCATGATCATAGACTTGAACAATAAGCACAGTATCCTCTCAAATGAGGCGTAGCAGCGTCGGGTGCGATATGTCGCAAAACCTCTTATCAAAGCTAAACTTTAACTCCACTAAACGTATATACCGTGACGTTTTTGTTTTGACTCCTGCACATTTTTGCTGCCGATCCGAGGCCGCATTTTTCGAACAAATGATGGTAAAGGTCGTCACACCCCAAACCGGCAGTTACCCCATCGAACAAACCGAGGCTACAGAATACCGGGATATCTGAAGCCATTGCAGGAGATTGCAAGACGCCAATCTTTCCTCAGAGGGCTTCCGGGAAGCTAAGTCATCCTTTGTCAATTGCACCTGATTACGCTCGGACTTGCAGATGGATATATGGACCGACCCTGACGTACCTGTGAACCACGTTTTGAAGCACCGCGAATAGTGTCTTACCCATATTCTCAATGTCCCCGTCTTCTGCCTTAATCATCCATCGCCCACGCTGCCAGCTGAGATCATGATTTCTGTTGTGAGCGCCCACCTGATCAAGATCGGATGATTCGGTCAGAAAGTTGACGGTGGACGAGCTGCCATCCCATTTTCTGGGCGTAATATAAACATTTCTGGTGTTGAGTGATGGACTTGATTTAACCCGCCTCGCGTTTGGCAGAAGACACTTAGATCATGATGAGTCTGTCATACTACCAGCGCATCCGAATGCGTTCTGGGAGTGGCACCGACGCATTCAGTCGAGCGCATGGAGTGCACAGGTCATAATTTATTGGATGATCACGTCCGAGTCGTCTGTTTACCAACATCGGACTCGATGTAAAGAAGATTCAGGAGAGGAGCGGGCATCGTGAATCGCCCGAATGCGTTACCTCGGAGTCCGGCCATGCCCATCGGGGTGTAAAGATGTTCCGGCTATGTCACGTAACTCATTACACTTGTCTGGATCAGATCAACACACCGGGCGGTCTAGCAATATTCCTACCACTGTACAGCAAAATGCTTAAATACATGGCACATGTCAGTAGCCTTGAACAACTCCCCCCGCTAACAAAGTCTCACTCGTCTCATTTCGAACCTAGATATCAGATACTCAAACCCAATGGCAGGCGCTAAAGACATGCTTTTCCCTCCTCTTGATGGTTCTTTACTCCTTCCCGAGCTATTTGCATTCAACGCCAGGCACAACACAGACAGGCCTTTTTACATCTTTTCCAACGCTGATGGACTGACCACTGTCACTCACCTTGAGTTTTATCGAGCTTGCCACAGAGTCGCACATGCTCTTCGTCCCAACCGTACGGGTCCCGAGGGCGAAGTTATCGCCATCATAGCCCAGACCGATAATATTCTATATGCTGCCCTAATTGTAGGGACAATGATTGCTGGCGCAATTGTGCGTATTTTCCATCTCTTCCGTTTCCACTTACTCAAAGTCACCGTAGCCATTCCCCATGTCTCCACGAAACTCCGCAGCCGCAGTGATGAATATGCTGCAGAAGACTGGTTGTCACCGAATAATTTCCACGCAGTATTCTCTGCATGCTCTCTTGGATGAAATCAGAACAGATATAGGGTTATCCGCCTCAAAGGAACAAACCTTCCAACTTTCCATTGAAGAAATTCCGACTCTTGCACAGGCTTTTCCGCAGCTGGCTTCGGAACAGGCCCACAACCCATTCGAATATTTCCCTGAACCACCAACTCGTTCTTCTCTCAACGATATCACGCTATACCTTCATTCTTCTGGAAGCACCGGATTCCCCAAGCCCATCCCGCAAACGCACTTGACCGCCATTCACTGGTGTACTTCTTGTGAGCACTACAGCCCCGCATGCATAGGTTATCTGACAGTAAAATCGTCTTCTAGCCGCGATAAGTGACTTGAATTATTATCCCCTTGAAACTCGTGTCGGAGCCATGTCTCTCCCGTCATTCCACACGCTAGGCATAATGTCTTTGCTGTACATGCCGGTATCCACCCTTCGTATTATCTCCATTTATGCTCCTACGTCATTTCATGATCCAAACGCAAGCCCCGTGATTCCGACCTCCGAAAACATACTTGACTGTTTACGCAAGACCGGCACGGAGATCTTACTTGTCGTTCCTTCCTTTATCGAGCAATGGGCGTCATCTCCCGAGGCAATTGAGACGCTGAAGACACTCCGCTGCATCGTATGTCCTTTCTCGCACTCTTGCGGCCCGGATACAATGTCTTCATCCACTGATGCATCCACGATATAGGCTTATTCAGGGGGTCCTTTGTCGCAAAAACTGGGTGATATCCTTGTATCGGCTGGGGTAACCATAAGATGCGTTTACGGAGCCACCGAGTTCGGTGCCATTTCGTCTTGGGTTCGCAGTGCAGATGATGAAAAGGATTGGTCATGGATGCGTTTCGGACCGCTGGCGACAATTAGATGGGTCCCACAGGGAGACGATACTTACGAGTGCCAAGTTCTGGTACGTGCTATTCATTTCAAACCGACCGACACAGGATAGACTCATCCGCCACAGACAAGCAAGGTACATCAAGTCTCCGTGGAGAACCTTCCAGACGTCAAGGGCTATGCAACTGCCGATCTCTTCGCCAAGCACCCTACTAAAGAACTATGGAAAATGTAAGGCTTCGATTCTGTCTTTCCGATGGACATGCTGTCTCATTATGCTCGTGATTGACAGTGTAGGAAGGGCAGACGATGTCCTCATCCTTGCCTCGGGAGAGAAAACCGTTCCGGCGCCGATGGAGAATATAATAGCTTCCAATCCTTTCGTCGCAGGCACCGCTATGTTTGGCCGCGAACGTAATCAAGTTGGAATCATAGTGGAGCCAAAGAAGGGCTGCGAGGTTGATATTAACGATCTCAAGCAAGTCGCAGAATTTAGAAACAAGATATGGTACGTACCAGGCTGACAAGTCACCGACATCACTTTCTAATCATCGATGGTCTTTAGGCCCGAAGTTGAAGAGGCTAACAGAACCGCTCCAGCTTTTAGTCGCATTTTCAAAGAAATGATATTGGTAGCTCACTCTGATAAACCCATGCTTCGTACGGGAAAAGGCACTGTTATGAAGAAAGCGACTGTTAAAGCCTATGAAGAGGACATCAATAATTTGTGAGTTGTGCCTCCAAATAAAACATACTGGCATATCAGCTAATACCTCTGAGTAGATATGATACTGTAGAAGAAAGCACGAGAGCTGGCAATGACGTGCCTTTGCCAAAGTCCTGGACGGAGGAGGAATTGCAGGGATGGCTTATGGCCCATGCCGCTATTGTGAACGCAGACAGAGAAGTAGACCCAGAGGCTGATTTCTTCGAGCAAGGGTTTGACAGGTACATCATCATTAGTGATCCTCAAAATAGCATTGTAATGACTGTTTCTCACATTGCCAGTTTAACTGCGACCTTCTTGAAGAATCGCATCATCGGCTCTCTCAAATCGTCTCCGGACCTCGATATCCGGGCAGCGGCAGGGAGAGTTAATCAGAACATCGTCTTCAACAGTCCCTCCATCAAGCTGCTATCGAAGAGTCTCGCCAATTTGATTGCCAACCGCGAGACGAATGGACAAAATGGTAGCCTTAGTGATGAGGAAGAGATTGAAAATATGATAGCAAAGTATTCTGGAGGACTGCCAGAGGCGTCTACTCCCGTCGAACATATTGCAAATGGGCATAGCGGTCACGTTGTCTTGCTCACCGGATCTACAGGCGGGCTGGGCTCTTATCTTCTCGCATCACTACTAGAACATGAAGCAGTCAGACATGTAATCGCCTTCAACAGACCATCCAAGGGGCGCGTAACGATAGAGGAGAGACAGAAGAGCGCATTTGAAGATAGAGGATTAGATATCTCACTCCTACAACTACCGAAGCTTCAGTATCTCGAAGGGGATGCTGCGCAAGAGAGATTGAGTTTGGATGAGGTTTCATACAACGAGGTGAACCTTTTTATAGCGACGCTATAATTTGCTTCAGGTGGCTAATCGGATTCCCTCACCACAGCTTCAAACGTCGACTACGATTATCATCCACAATGCATGGCGTCTTGACTTCAATCTATCGCTCTCTTCATTCGAGCCAAACATCAAGGGAACAAAGAATCTCATAGACCTCGCACTCTCGTCGCCACATGCGTCCCAAGTACGGTTCCTCTTCACATCGTCAATATCATCTGCACAGGGGTGGGACCAAAGTAAGGGACCCTTCCCGGAAGAGGTGCAATTCAACCCGAGTGTTGCCTCTCATGGGTCGGGTTACGGTACGAGTAAATATGTTTGCGAGCGGGTAAGTTTAGAATGCCTATGTCTCGTTGCACTTGATAACGTGAATTTCACATAGTTATTGGAGAAAAGTGGCTTGCAAGCGTCATCTTTCAGGATAGGACAAGTCTCAGGGGGGTCTCCCAGAGGAGCCTGGAGTATTACCGATTGGGTACCAATCATCGTGAAGTCCAGTCTAGGGATAGGCGCTCTGCCAATCGCGAAGGGGGTAAGCATTTTGTTTATTGGTGCCCTTTAGGGAACTAATCACGGTGAATAGGTAGTAGCTTGGTTACCGCCCCACGCGGTATCCGACGCCATCATTGACGTAGCTTTCTCGAAAGCGAAACCCCAGATTGCTCTCAATCTTGTGCATCCTCGCCCAGTTGAATGGGCGTCACTTATGAAGCCTGTAGGAGAAGCCCTAGTCAGAAAAAACTTGATCACCGCACCATTACCGCTTGTTCCATTTTACGAATGGTTTGCCAAAGTTGAAGAAATAGCCGCAAAGGCAAGTGGAGAGGAGCTAAAGACCATTGTAAGTATCATAATCTTTGATTTATATAGCATGTGATCATACTAAGTGCTGTTATTCCTTCTAGCCTGCGGTCAAGTTACTCGAATTTATGCGCTCACTGGCCTCAGCAGATAAGTCCATTCGGGAGCTGGGAAGCGAGGACGCCGAAGCTGCAGGTTTCACTAAATTTTCTACTACAAAAGCACAGCAAGTCAGCCAGACGATGAGAGAACTTCCATCACTCGTTGCTGCTGATGCAGAACTGTGGGTCGATTACTGGGAAGCTGTTGGTATGTTTGCGTAAGAGATATATAAGAAGAATGAGAGACACGATCTAGAATAGCTTACATTTCGTATATAACCCCTTCGTTCCCACTTGTATCGCGAAAATAGCGCTGAATCAAGTGGTAGGCATAAGGCGGAAATAAGTAGTGCCACGAGTCACGAATCAATGTCCGTACCAATGCAAAGTCGTGTGCCATTGAATGATAGAATGATTATACGCCGTGGGTACTGCAGGAAACGTTGCCTTCAGGTGGATTGCTTGGATTCACATAAACACCGAATAGTTCAGTAACGAGATCCTAGTAACTATATTCAAATTTGACCTAACAAGGTGAGTGAAAGGACTCCCTATAGTTGTATGAGGAACTGAAGCAGCTTAACTCGTGTTTTTGGTGGATTACGCCCTTTCATCGGTTCCAGGAAAGTTGGGACTTGGTAGCGAAACATCTAAGGGAATCTGTTTGAGAGCTATACGGTAAAGTACTATATGAAGCTCCGTGGTTAGCTCCGGATACTTATCAGTCACAAGTCCGCCCCACGCCCCCAAGTGAAGAGCCTAATTCTGACGTGAGTTTGCGCGTGTGCCGGTCCATGAAAACATCACCTTGATCAGGAAGTTGAGAAGACCGAAAAAAACACTGCCTCGTGCCAAACGAAAAAAAAAGATCCTTATTTGTCTAATTTGCCTGATAAGTGGAACGGTAAAGATTGTTATCGTCATACCTGGCTTGGTAATGTGGCATCGCAGATGTTTCACCGTCTTCATCGCCAGGAAATGCAGCATAGAGCCATCGTACTGCGTCTCTCAATGCGGCGTGTGTGCTCCGATGCATGGGTGAGCAAACAGATCCTAGATGTACATAACGTTATGGTCAAATCGAGAGTGAGAATGTCGGAGTAAGCGAGGAGAGAGGTTTGGAGAGGATATTATTGACAGGACAACAGTAACTGAGTGAACTAGACAGTATCTTGTACTGGAGATTGCATAACAGCGAGCTGGATCATCGCGGGACATCTACACATTGTTCCTTAGACGCTCTCTGTATCAACACACAGGTGTTATCGTCCTATTTTCCCGGAGCAGACAGACAGCAAAAATTGAGGAGGAAAGGATAGCGCTAGTACTGACGCGTGTCTGCCGCACGAGCCACGGCTGTCAGGCTGGATTAAAAATTGATTCCGACGAGGCACGTGGATGCCCAAATTGTGCAACTTAGAATTCTCTGTGACCTTATAATGACCCTCATCTTATCCTGTCCTCAACATTTTCATTCTCTCTGTATCCTTCCTCTCTATATTGTATCCCATCTCGTGTACTTACCAGACACATTGTAACTTTGATCGATTTTCTTTTTCGATCTATATACCAGGTAACGTGGCATCCGCATGAAATGTGCTGTCCAACCTGCTCCGAATGATGCTAAGCACACTTTTACTCTAGTCGTTCAAAAGGAAGTGAGTAAATTGTACAGGACCTATAGACCCTCGCATGGATTGCCCTCTGCTTGTATGGATGCTTTCGTTGAACAGAGATATCACAAAAGAGGTGGGCGTCTTGTGGCTTTGCTCCATCAACTTCGTTATCAAGGATCTTTACTCTCCAGGAATACGATAAATGCTTTGAACTTGTACGAGAATGTGCACCTCACACCCGAATACCATATGCTCCAACTTCCATGGATTCATTTCGTGCGTTAAGATTTTGCCCTGTCTTCCCAATACGTAAAGTAACTCTGTGCGGTCTGGTCAGGACAAGTTATCAACCAAATGCTTCCCTTACTTATGATGAGACATCGACGAATATCTAGGACGAAATGGAAGGACTGTGAAACGCCGACCGGCAAACATTGGATAGAGCAGGTCAGAGCCGACCGCACCTTAAAAAGCAGGCACAACCTCATTTGCTTATTTTTCCCTCTCTCAAGTCCCCTGACGACATGCCGCCAGAGAAATTTCTCCAGTCTATGATAGGATATCATCTTGCTTATGAGAACTCACTATGTGGCATGGTAATGACCCAAGGACGACAACGACAAGTTATCAATATCGGTCTAGGTATCAAACAAATAGCGGTAGAACCCGCTGGAGCAACTGTGGCGGCGTATGCAGAGTCCTTTGCTCACAAAGTAAATCTTTGATACATCTAGGGAAACTAGTTCTCTGATCTCGTCATTTCAAGCTAACGCCTTTAGAAATGACGTTTATATCACCAGAGCAAGGCGAAGATGTCGTTCTCCGACGTCTCTGCATTCTCTTGGCCTTAAAAGCCGCATACATTAAAGCCGTCGGCCAACCAATAGGTTTCGATTGGTCTCGCCTTGAATTTAATATTCCAAATGAATCAGCTCGCGGAGATGACCATCCCCTACAAGGATGGGAATTTCGTGTCTTCAAAGCTCAACTAGGCGTCGTACGCAGAGGTATTCTTGTCGAAGAGTCATATCAGTGCGCGTGCGCCTTTTTCCGTGGAAGCAAAGAGTCGAAATTTATCTGGCATGATAACACAAAAGATTTGGAGGCTTGGGTGCAGTTTATCAACATCGATCAAATGGTCAAAGTCATACCAAAATTGACTGCATAGCGTTGTCCAGTTATCATTGTTTGGATGTTATTTTTTGTACCAATCTTGTTCCAGTATTTTGTTGTCGATCTGCTCGTTATCAATTTTGCGTTCTGTCATTGACTTTTTCTTTTCTTGATTGTGCGATATCCCACTCTTCCTTTTAATCTACAATCGTATGTTTAGCTATGACACCTTACTCCGTACCTATGTGACCTCGATGGATCGGGCCTGGAGCTGTATGACTGTAAATGTTAAAAACCTTGATGTTAGGATGCTCACTAGCCTCTTCGGATGTGTGTCAAAAGCAAACGATGGGATGGGAAATGCATGTACTGTACAGTATATGTAAATGACAAAATGACAAGATCGTGCCCCTCTAGCGATCATGACAATGCCTTGGTAGGTGAGGATTGATGGATTGAACTCGAGCTTGAACTAGACGAATCCTCAGGAACTGGGGGGCCTGCGTACTGATGTCTACCATCTAGATATGTTCGACATGTGATAAACTTGAAGAGGCACAGTCGAATATGGAAATACGTACTTATAATGTACCACACCGCACTGATAGCTCCAAAACCAATAAAAACAACAGAAGCATAATCTGGAAAATAGTTGGAGGGGTAAAAATCGTGTTCTCAGCAAGCTAAAAGTACTTACTCATCGTAACAGTTGTCACAGGTATCACGGAAGGCATCGAGAACAGTACTATGGCAAATATTATCCAAAGCAAGGCGATCGTGTTAATAATGGTGCCCCATTTCCCTAATGCAAAAGGAGCGTCCAACATATCCTCCCTTCCATTGAGCAGAGATATAGCTACTGGCATAGCGTAAGATGCCCCTAGACACATCACAGCTACACCACTGAAAGCATTAAATGCTGCAGAGGACCCAAGGTATATAAGTCCGAGTAGCACTTGGATTATAGTAGATAAAAGGAAAGCATTTAGTGGAACGTCATAAAGATGGGGATTGATCTTGGAGAAGTGCCGGTGAAAGGGAATGGCCTTATCTCTTGCAAAGGCCCATGTGGCGCGAGAGGCGGCACAAGATATTGATATTGCGCAGAACATGCCAATACCAAAAACTGCAAGAAGGTTAGGGCGACAAAAAAGTGGTTGATACTGGTTTCCTTACTAATGAACCACTATGTGTGACTTTAGTGTCTGAAAGACCAACTGTGAGCAATACATAAAAACTCACCACACCAAAGCCACCTGCTTCTGAACCCATGATTAACGTGAACATGACGCCAATGGGCTGTCCCGATGACACTGACGTTGATTGCCTTGTTAGCGTCGAAAGATTCCTTAGTCAATTCGGAGCATACCAGCAATCAAAGTCGCCGCATCCGGCAGCGTAAAAACGATGGGAAGGAGGAAAATAAGTCCGGTAAGAAAACCGATAGGTATCGACCATGAAATTGCCCGCGGGAGAACTTCAGAAGGATTGTGGACTTCCTCCGCCATATTAGCGACTATAAAGGCAAAAAAATTGATCCGTTGTTTCAGTTCAGATATCAGGCTGAAACGCACTCATTCCAATAGCTGCATACGTGTATGCTAAAGGATGTGTTTTCAGCATGGCCTACATAAAATATGTGGAATGCGGGTTCGTACCAGGCTGTCCAATAAACAAAGATATCATGTCAGCTTTCATTCTATCCTACCGGAAGCATAGCACATACCGGAAGCAAACCAATGAAGAACGACCAGCCAGGCGTCCAACCTGATGCAGAAGGGTCGAAATGACCCAGTGCATAAGCAGCCGAGTGACGTCCAGCTGCTGCTTTCACAGATAAAGCTACCAGTATCACTAATATACATATAAATACTTGTTGATGTATGAAAGGAGTAGGAAATGCAATACTCGCCTATAATACCAAGGGCAGTCCATATGGCACATATAATCTAGATAGCTTCGACATCAGTTTTACTGGAACCTAAAGACACGAAACACTGACATCGATCGTAGGTAGGTACTTGTTGAAGAAGATACAAAATATGCACGCAATAGCAGTGACAGCCAGAAAGATCAGATCTACAAAAATGAAAGGTGGTTCACATGACATGATGCATTGCCATCCGTTATCATTTTGTACGTACAAGTCTGCCAGGGCGTAGCCACCCAATCTGGAAGGAAAATGCCAGCGCCTGCTACGGCAAGCTGCGCAGTCCCTGATAACAAGTCGTCAGATCAACTAGCTTTGAGAAGTAGAAGGAAAGAAGCCCCACCAAAGGTAACGCTCAAGGCGATCGTCCAAACGCCAACCATCGTAAGCCATCCATTGATCCATGATAATAATAGCCTTGTCTGTGGGGATGCAAGACGGAAGCACCAGTAATATGCACCAGCGGAAGTAGGGTATTTGGAGCATATCTCGGCGAGGGAAAGAGCGAGAGTTTCAGTGAGGATAGATACTAAAACCCACCTAGAAATATGTGTCAATCCATTGAGAAACACAGACATCTTACGCATGTGCACTAACCCCCAAATCATCACGACTGGTCCACCTCCAATCAAAGATGTTGCAATAGGTGCGGCAAGACCGTAAGCTTATCAGGACAACAAGTGGTCAGTCGATGAAGTGTATACAAGATCCTCAGTGTACTCACGAACTGCCATGATAGCTAATACAATGTTACGAGTGAGCCATGAATATGTATAAGAAACGGAAAAACATACCAAGTGTCACTAAGACGCGATAGGTCAGACAAGATAATAGATATATAATTTAAGGATACGCACTGAAGAGGATATGAAACAATCCTCGAGACTACATGATAAACGGTAAGAATGGTTTGCCACGAACGTCAATAGAAGAAACCTACTCGAGCCATTTCCTGCGTGTAGCCCAACTTCTGTAGACCTTCGCTAGCCAGTGCATCGGAGTTGGCTTCGTTGGCTACACCCATCGTCGTTAAGAATGCAAGGGATAGTGTGGTAGTTAAAATTGTTGAATATCGAACCAGCTTTTGAACCAGATAGTCACTACAGAGCAAACGGGATGGAGTAGCGTGGGCTGTGTGCGGAGGCGAATTATCAGCAAAAGCGAATAAGGTACCGTATGAGATATGGTAAGCCCACATTGACTATAAAAGATCGAAACACCCTTGTGAATAAACATGTTGTTATGCACCTTATCAGACCAGAAAAGGATATGACATGGGTTAACCCGGATAGCTTCTTCTAGCTTGGCTGAGAGATATTCAAAGTCGTGTCTCTACCGTGGAACTTGAAACTTGAGGTCAATCCTACATTGCGGTAACACGCGATTCAATCGGTTTGCTATATCTACCATTTTACAGCCCAGTTCCTGACTTGGTGAGAATACATTCCATAGCAAATTGTCAGCCGCCGCAAGGATAATGTGACCATGAAAGCGCCCTTGGTTCAAGTTGACAGCCTGAGGGCCCCCTTTAACTCTCACCGCTGTTCGGAGCTATTTTTGATCTGTCACAAGCAATTGTTCATGATGTATCGGCAAACTTGAAGAAATACCAAAACAATTGAGCCTCGACTAAGACTGGTATATCTAAATTATACCATCTATTGCAAAACATAAGAAGATAGATGCGAGAATGAAAGCATGCGTTACTTACAAGTCGAAATGATTGGTTTGCTCGCGGTTACGAAATTGGACTCTGAAAAGTTTGACAAGCACCGTCTCGGCAACCGGCGGGAATTTAAAACCCAGATACATGTCCTCAATGTAATAGGGGCCAAAGTAAACACGAGAGTTGCTACGTTAGAAATCTTTATTTTTTACTCCCGGCACCCACCATGCCCAAGAAAAAATGCAGCAAATGCTCTCAGGGAGACTCGACACCAATGATGCGCTGTTCCAAGTGCAAGAACCGGCTTTATTGCGTAAATGATCCTGCTTTTTGACTTTTAACACTAAGGTGCTGATATGATGCTATATCGAAGTCTAAGGAATGTCAAATTGCCGATTGGTTTTCGCATAAAGAACATTGCGCAAGTGCCCCGAGCGCTCAGAACACGAACGTGACCGGCATCGTCATAGCATGCAACAAAGACAGAGTACACAACCCCATCTTCCAATCGACAGTCATTGAACCGACGCACCAAATCCATAGCCTCGGAATTGAGTGCCCTCTGTTCAACCAAGTCGGCTTTCCTATCGTGATGTATCGTCATATTCGCCAAAATTCCTTAACCATGCATCGCGATCCCGGTCTGGACAACCAAATAGCTACATACCTCATGATTGAGCCGACCAATGGGTTTGCCACCCCCGAGTAAGATGTCTCATTGTTTTAGAATCGGTACTTCCGAATCTTGACACAGCGAAAGGTGGCAGCAATGTATCGGGGCGGTATGTGATCTTTGACTGCTCGCAAACATTGATTTAATTTTTATTTCAGGTTACAGTCATGCGCCGAGATGGAAAACCACTGACATTAGAAGCAGTGGAGACCATCTGGATGTTCGCGGACCGTGTGCTTGACCTTTTTGGTATCGATCATACCCCGCCCGCTCGCACAATGACTCCACAGGGATTCCATTGTTTCTGTCAGGAATATAAAGATGGGAGGTTGTTGAATGGGTACGACAATTTCAGAGATATGCCTGTGCCTCTTTGAGAAGCGGCGTTGCGAGTGGATGCTAGCAGACAAGGCGAGAAACGTATTCTCTGATGTATTTGTAACGTACCATCACTTGTACGATTAATGTTTGTATTGAGCGGACTCCAGGAATATGGATATGACTTGTGAACCGTTGGAAGTTCGTATTTCATGTACACACTCATGTCATAAAAGCGAGTGAACGGGACGTCGTGATTGCCAGTGCCTGGCCTATATAGCCGAGGCATGATCAAGCGATGTCTAAGGATAGCACTGGAATGTATTTTTGCTTCAAGGTACCCTTGAGCGCGCATATATAAAGACATGACATGAGAGAGTGTGGAGAACAACTTGAACATATCTTTCCTCGAAGCCAGTCTAACGATGTCTAGCACATCTGCCCTCCATTCGAATGCATGCCGCTGTAGTAATGACTCTAATGAAAAGGCGAAAGCCGATATTCGTGATGTGGCGCGTGCGCATGCTTGGCTTTCGTTGCAATTTGCTCTGTACTTTGCACCCCAAAACGCCTCTTCGCTCGTGCTCACCGTTGGCCTCAGCATAGGCCGTATAAACTGTCCATCGTGTCTCCGTATATTCCTGTTCTCGACTGATATCACATCAAAGTCTCCGCAGTCATGCAAACATCCGCTCTTTCATTACTATGTTATCTCTCCTTTTTATCCGTTGCTCAGGCATCGGTCACTGTCTACAGTCAAGTTCGTCTGGGAAGTCCTACAGGAACAGCATCCGGCTCTGCAGCCTCATATACTGGCGCAGCCGCTTACGATCCCACAATACTGAATCCTCCCCCAATCCCTAGTCCAGCTCCTGCTACCCAATTTACCCTGCAACTCGCTAGCAGCGCCCAAAATGTTCAAGGACTCTCAATTCCCCAGCCAGGCGCATTCTTTGGCTTTAGCATAGAAATGTCAGTTATAAATCAAGTTAGTGAGTATTGCCCTCCTTTTTATCTTTTCAGGAGTTGTACCCCTCTGACCGCGCTTTCATTGGGTAGTTGGCATCAATTCGTGAGTAACATGAGCATCTGCCCTCTATCGATATGTTTTTACATCACTTCTCAACTTTTAATCAGAACCTTTCTCCAAGTCCCTTTCCTGAATCTTATGGCCAACGTCAAAGAACGCGCAGGACGAGTGCATGTTCGGGTTGGTGGTAACACACAAGAGTATGCCACTGTAGTTCCTACGCTGGCAGACGGAAAAGACATGGAGAAGGACAAGACTTCTCTGACCAACCCCGTATGCCCCCCGTCTCATCTCACTTAATTCTATGACTGAACATCGAATTTGAATTCCATAGACCCAAACACCGGGACTGTTCCTCACCTACGACATTTTTTACATGCTCGCAAACGTCACAGCACTCACAAATGTCAACTGGTATCTTGGTGTGTATTTTATCAAGCTTCAGACAAACTCTGTGCAGGAGTGACATTTTGATACTTTAGGGGTACCATTCAACGATACCTCAAATTTCCGTTTGCAGATAGCTGAAATCGGAGAAGCCGTCTTGGGCGATCATTTACTTGGGTTGCAAGTCGGCAATGAGCCTGATCTTTACTCTGCGTAAGTTCCACTCACCAGTCATATCTACAACGCTGAAAGCTGAGACCCTCCTTAAGTCACGGCCATCGTCCTCAAACTTATAGTCCATCTGATTACTTTGGGGAATTCGGTACGATTATACAGGCAATTGCTAACGACGCCAACATCCCTGTGAAAAACAATCTCATTGGTCCATCTGTATCTGGTACCTGGACGCCTGAGGATGTCTGGAATACCGGTTTCGTGCCTTCGTATTCTAGCAGTCTCGGAGCCCTCGCCGTCGAACAGTATGTATCAATATATTTCGGGATTCACGTTTGTCTAATCTAATCACGATGTATCTGTCAGTTATCCTACCGACAATTGCTACGCTGAATACGGTATTGGACAACCTGTTGATCCACAGACCGTGTTCCCGCAATTCCTCACCCATGCATCTGGGCAGGGGCTCGTCGCACCGTACCTCAACTCGACGAATTACGCCCAATCTCAAGGAAAGCCGTTTTTGATGTTTGAGACGAACACCGCGTCTTGTGGTGGCTTCCCGGGTATCAGTGACAGCTTTGGGGCTGCGCTTTGGGCTCTTGATTATGGTTTGCAGATGGCATATAGCAACTTCTCCGGAGCCATGTTACATGTCGGTGGACAGAATGTTTACTATAACGTGCGTGTATTGCCTTATTGCCTTCTATAAAATTCACGGCTTACGGAATCCTTTCCAGCCTTTCACTCGTAAGCCAAGCTTTCGTTGCTGTTTACTTCCGTGATCAATGAGGCATATACTTCCTTTAACAGCGCCGCCCACTAATGAAAGTTCCTATAACCAATGGACTATCGGTCCTGTCTACTATTCGGTTCTCGCCCTTGCTGAAGCTTTCGGTACCTCCAACAACTCCCGTATTATCGATCTCGGTGCGAATAGCCAAAACCAATACACTCCTGCGTATGCCATCTACGAGGGTAGCAACCTAGTGAAAGTCGCACTCTTTAACTTCATGACGGATCCATCTGGCGCAAATACATACACAGCAACGATCTCGATCGATGGTTCAGCTGCAGGCCTCCCGAACGGAGTCCCGACTCAAGCGCACGTCAAGTGAGTCTCTTCGGTATGTCCCTTTATAAGGACGACCTCACTAACGTGCACACCTCAGATATCTTTTGGCACCCTCAGTATCCAGTAAGACAGACATGACGTGGGCGGGCCAGGTAAGCCCAAGTTAAGTAGGCACGAAAGCAGTCACACTCATGCTCCCTTTCAAGACTTTGGGCGGCGTGTTCCAGTCAGATGGTCGCCTCGCAGGTAGTCTCAATGTCGAAACCGTTACTTGTGATCAAAACGCCAACACTTGTCAAGTACAAGTCCCTGCGCCCGGTTTCGCGCTCGTGTTCCTTTCCCAGTCTAGTCTATCCGAAGTGTCGCCTTCGGCCCCACAAACGTTTCCGACGACCGCCTACACACAGACTATCAATACGGTGACCATCAATCCTTCGGTACTTGCGACGTCGAATGGACGTGGAAGGACAGGTGAACTGGGGAGCACGAGTAAAGGAAATCCAAACGGAGCGAGCCGTGTGGGTGTTGTAGGTTCGGGAGTGGCTCTTTTGCTCTCTATCGTCGTTGGTGCCTTTGTGATTGGTCGAGAAGCAGTGCGGCTATAGATAGAGAGAGGGAACGAACTGACATTTGTATGGAGCTATTTCCACCACCACAGACATTTGAACTGATCTTACTGACCATTTCATGAATTCTTTGTATACATGCACTGCGTTGTAATTTTTTTCTTCTTTTTGTGACGCTTGTCAGGACATCATTCGCCTAGGCTTAATCTGCATGTCTGCATCTTGTTTCTTTGCAGTTCACATTTATATAATAACTGCACGAAATGCATTGCTTCATTTCCTCTTAGATATTATCAAGCTTTGTATGGCTGCTCAAAACCTGTCAGCTCGTCGAGTGTCACTTACAAAGCCCTAACTCGAAGGATCTCACGTGCTTGCTTTGAGTCGCTTTTCAAATCCTCTGAAAGTGGATGTATTTCATCATAATTCTCTCATGGCTCCATGCATATATGGTGGGATGGCCGAGCGGTCTAAGGCGCCAGACTAAGGAACCACATCATATGATGATGAATCAATCTGGTCCGAAAGGGCGGGAGTTCGAATCTCCCTTCCATCAAATATTTTTGAATTGCCATTGAATTTGTTCCTGGACCCATACATAACAATCGAGTCTTAGGTATTTTTGTCAGTTGTCAGTCCTGTTCACGAATCCTCCTTATACATGCACTACGTTTGCGATTTTTTTTTTCTTTTTGACGCTTGTCAGGACTTCATTCGCCCAGGCTTGAATCTGCATGTCTACATCTTATTTCTTTGCAGCTCACATTCATATACTAACTGCACGGAATACATTGCTCCATTTTCTCTTAGATATTACCAATAACAATAGTCGTACAACAGCCAGCAATCTGATGCAAACCGCAAGGTTTCTACTTGATGTTTACTTGGTGTAGAGCGTCAACTTTGTGTGCTTGATCCCTATTTCGCCCGCCGTCACCAAGAAATCACGACCAGCTTGCGTGTCAGCTTGTGCCGATCTCTCCTGATGGGCCTAGAGCACGATAAAGTATGAGGACCATGTAATGTACATCATGATGGAGCTCGGGCTGGATATACTCACCTCGATGCTGGGCCAACCGCAGACCATGTAGTACAGGTTCTCGTCCTCAACCGTCTGCCCGAACACGATCATCCCCTTGCTGACTTCCTCGGCTTGTTTGAGCAAACCAACCACCTTCTCTCGCTGCTCGGGAGCATTCAGCTTGAATGTGAACACCTCGGTGATGGGTTCTTTGAGGGCGTTGAGGACACCTGAGAATTGGACATGGTACATTTGGGGGGCGCCGCCGAGAGAGGGGGTCAAAGATTCGATGAGGCTTGGGTACGATGGCGCGGCGATAAAATCATGATGATGCTTCAAGCTATCCCAATCTACGAGATGCGGCACAGGTTAGATGGATCTCCTGTGAAAACATAATCCTACATACTGAGGAAGATGTATCCAGTGTCAGGGCTTTCGACCTGTAATCCATAGAAAGCACTGTCGGTCGATCGCAATCCCGCTGATTAGCGAGATGATGTGACCGATTTGAGATGTGTAGCTCACTCTTGTACTCCTGGGGCTTTCAGTACGATGTCGAGAGGAGCTGCTACTATACTGGGATCCTTCTGGTATGCTTCGGAAGTGGGGAAAACAAGGATTTCGGTGGTTGGGAGTGCCATATCGACGAAAGCTGCAGTAAAGATACCCTTTCTCGATTATCAATTGCAAGCCTCGTGATATAAGGATCTACGCAGCGCACTATCGGCCTATGCCTCCGATCAATCAAAAGACACCGATGTGACTGACATGATCATAAGACAAACCCGCAATAGGTCAACCAGAAGAATACAAGGCGCAGAATTAGAGCGGCCGCAACATCCACTAACTACCTGTGTGCGAGACAGAAACTGCATGTAGCATGTGCACATCGCCTTTCAGTTCTCGAGTCATTCTGATGCATGAATAGCCGGGCGTAGCATAGTAAAAGCCAGTTCGATAATAAGAGCGGTTTGAGAAAGTTGTGGTAGGGGATAAAGACTCGGAAAACGGTATTGGGTACAACAGAGATATTTCAATACATGATACTTAACTGTATTGTAGCCCACCCAAATATAATTAGAAAATAACTGTGATCGAGTTGGTAATGAACGCACATAATCAGATTTATTGTAGAAGTTGCGATACACAACAGCCTACAAAGTTTACTACGACCTCGCAAAGCCAACTTGTGGCCACGTTGCAGCATTGGTTTGATGCTCTCCTACAAGGGTGTCAGGAAAGGTTCACAAACCCATGACATATGAAAGAAACTTTACCTCATAAGCAAGTGTCACTTCATCCTTATTCAGGGGTTCTTCTTGTGCCCGTTTCCACAACGCCTCGTACACGTTACCATCATAGACACCAAGAGCACTAGCCGGACTGAGAGTGAGCAAAGATCAAAATTGGTAACCGTTTCCGACCAACCTGTTTAATTCCCAGTCCGAGAACCCAAAGGCATCGGTGAGACCGATCGCGTTGGGAAGGAGCTCTAAGCATAGATCTCGGATGGACAATCGAAGACTACGAGCGGGATCACCAGACTCCCCGCGAGGAAGAATATTGAATGATAAAAAGTCGACTAAATTCGATTCAATTGTAGTCAGGAGATACTTGGGTGAGATGGTTGAATGTTGGTCTGATTGCATCATTGAATGAAAGTTACTCACAAGACGCAAAAGGTCACTGATGACTCGTTTCTCGAGATTGAGGATGTGAAGGTCTTTGACAATGTGGCCTATTTGTGTCGCGACGAACGCATCTACAACGGCTCTAGATACTCTTTGAGATGCGCTTGCATCGTCATCACCTTGGTTGCGCGCAAAGTCCCTGACAACAAAAGCAGCACGCAATTCAAGTAGTAAAATGACACTGGCGAGATCGTCCCATGTCGACGAATTAGTTATTTGAGGGGGCTTCGTTGAATGGCAGAGGCGAAGATAACTGGAAAAGGGCGATAGACTTGACATGGACGATGTCTTTGTTGAATATATATTGCTGTATGACTTCAGTGCTGTGCGAATGACTTGTCCATCAAGGACAAAATTGTCCCCTTCATATCTAATGAGCGCATGAGTGTTTGACATCTCCGCGATACACTGGGACTGCGTACGTCGCGCTTGGAACATAATCCGCGTAAATGCGACCAAGGCCAGAGAAAGCACTATATCCGTGTCCTCCCATAGATCGTCTAGCCGTTTCTAAATCCTCAGTTCCTGTCGTAGAGACCAGTATCTTCAGTCCAGCTGTAGTCGCGTGTATCTCGGGTAACAGGGAAGCATCTCCTGACGCCAGACGTGATGACATCTCGTTAAAAGCCGTAGTCTGAGAAAGGGAAGATAATATTAATTCTGCAGAAACTGATATCGGTGCTGCTTACGATCCGTTGTCCTAGCAGAATAAAAACATATGCACGCGATAAAATGGGAAGAAGCCTGTAGAAGGTTGATGGATATGATATAACTTGACGTTCGAGTCCGTCGACATCCCCACCTCCTTGCCTACGTACAGTGGTATATCGAATTGAAATTGTAGCCGCTGTAGTGTGTGTATGTGCAAGATCAGTACGACATCTTCTATAATATATCATATAGCATACCTTTAGCCATAGTCCAGCCTCCACTGATTACCATGCTGAAGGATCAAGGTTGGTTTCCGCTATATGCATATATTTACACCCAGAAATACCTTGATCGAATGTAGAGCATCTGGAAGAAATGAGATGATGATCGAGCAGCTGCATTGGGGACTTACCCCTCCATAGCTCAGCTTAGCATGGGGAGGTTTCACATATTGCCCGTCCCTCGTCACTTGGGCAAACCTTGAGAGCATATTATCCCTTGGTATCTTTACATGATTGAAGCTGGCAAATCCATTGTCGTTCGAGGCATTACCTGTGCCATGAAACCTAAACTGAGCTATTATCTGTAATTCAGCAGACAACGTACATACCCCCTAGGGCCTTCGGGCCTATGTCACCGATTGTGAGCCCTGGTAATACCCGATGATCCTCTGCAAAAGATGAGACATGTAACTGAAAAGGAGACTACAGACGAACCTAAAGATCTCAATTGCACCAAAAACAGATGTGGGCCAACGTCTTTGCCTCCAGGAAGTATAAGTTTAGCCTGAACTACACCATGAGTAGCAGTCTTCCCTAATGCCCCGATCCACCACTTTCTGCTTGTCAATGTAGGAGAGTGAATATCAAATTCGTCTGTCTCCGGGATATAGGTGGCAGTAGTCTCTAATCTCGAAACATTTGTTCCATGTCCAAGTTCGGTTTGGAGATAGCAGCTGCACTCAATTGCCTTGTAATCCTGACGTTCTGGATTAAAACCGTGGAACGGATACATACCCATGTATGGCTTTGTTAGCAGCAAGGTGCCGGTATCTTTGTAACATAGAAGCTGAACCTTGTGATAGTAGCACTGGTTCAAAAGCTAGGAAAGAAGGTAACGTTGAATGTAGATCTAGACAAGAACGGGGATCTAAGTACCTATCAAGTGTAGTCTAATCGGGAGCGTTTCGTCAAGCATGTTCATCGCTTCCGAGGTCTCCTGTGAGGACCATTTGTGGATATCCTCAAGCTCGAGAATTCGATTGGTCATGGCTAAGCCTCTCCTGTATAAATCGCCGCGCCCCAAGAAATCTCTGCATCAAGTCAGAGCTCACCACAAGTCCTTTCGGAAACCCAAGTGGTACTGTCATACGACTCACCTCTGACTCTTATCGAAAACCGGGTCCTCAGACACTATCCTCTGCACCCTACAATGAGCATCCCAGTTTTCTCGCCCATCTTATGGTACAACCTGTTTTGGTAAATTACTCCTTGAAGGCGACTATGAACTTACCGTAGAGTAAATCGCGGATGACTGGTATGTCTATGGTAGCCTGTGAGCGCGCATTCGCCATATCAACCCTTGTCTGGCTGCTAGCGTCAAAGTGCACCATTTCGTGGTATAGTTTCCTGTTGTCATAAACTTTCTAAGACTCCCTTCATGAGAACTGGAGAAAGTTGGACCCGGTCAGGTTGTTAGCCGGAAACAACCATTGGTGCGCCAAGGCCACGGAGTTACCGCTTTGGGCTAGAACCTCCACGTAAATTGATTTTTTGTACGTAATCTACTAAATCGGTTTAAGTTGTTCGCAACGACCTTTTGTTTTTCTTCCACCTCATCTCGTCTTTTCGAGTCTGGAAAACGCTCAGAGGATTTGGTAAATAATTCTTTGGCTCATATAATGTCAAGTTATATATTTAACACTATTTTGAAACCATTTTCTTAGACAGAAATGCGTCTCTTCCTCGTCCACTCTTTTCTGCTACTATGCTTGAGCGTTGTCCAAGCCGATGTTACCGTATACGGTCCTTATAAGCAACAGACCTTAGGTATCGCTGGAACAGCCACTGCAGCATCAGCATCATACACCGGATCTGCTGCATATAACCCCACCACTCTCACACCACCTCCTGTTCCAAATCCGCCGCCACCTAGTCAATTCAACATTCAGCTCCAGAATGGTGGTGTTCCTGGGCTATCAATACCGCAAAAGGGTTCTTTCCTTGGCTTCAGTGTTGAGTTCAGTGTGGTCACACAAATCCGTTAGTTGCTTTGTTTTCCTCGTAGTATATCATTACTGATAAACGTTCTAGTTGGACGAAACAGGTACAGCTCTGCGCATCTCTTATAATGTCATTGATATTGATAGTATCCATAGCTCTTTCTTACAGGTACCATTCTTGAACTTGATGGCTAACATAAGAGAACGTGCTGGAAGCATCAACATCCGTGTCGGTGGTAACACACAGGATTCGGCCACTCTTGTCAGTAGTATTGCGGACGGAGCTGATTTGGAAAAGGACTACTCAGGCAGTACAAACCCTGTAAGTTACATCTCATACAGCATTGTCAGCATGTTCCTCACGCGCCTCGATTGCAGACTGCAACACCTCCAACGATCTTTACGTCAGATATCATGAAAATGATGTTAGGCATATCCAATCTGGTTAACGTCCGCTGGTACATGGGCTTACCTTTCTATAACACGTCAAACTTCCGTCTGGAGATAGCTGAAGCTGGGGAATCTATTCTGGGAGATAATCTTATTGGCTTGCAGGTAAGCTATATGCAGTAATTCAGTCATTCAACATGAATGCTTATTCAATGCATTTTACAGGTTGGAAACGAGCCTGACCTCTACTCAAGGCACGGTCATCGTCCGGCTGTAATTAATTCGCTGCCTCTACCATCTTCACAATTCTGAAATGTAGTCTAGAACTATGGTCCCAGTGACTACGTGACCGAGTTTGGCCAGCTTGTAACCGCTATGCAGAATGACGCTAATGTCCCCAACCAAGGCCTTCTTATTGGTCCTAATCTGGCTGGTGTCTGGTCACCGGAAGATATTTGGAATACTGGGTTTGTGCAGCAATACAACCAGGAGCTCTCTGCTCTCGCAGTTGAACGGTAAGCTTTGGGCGATTTTCCAAATTTGAATATGTCACGAACATTGGTGTTACCTAGTTATCCATCAGACAATTGTTACGCTACATTTGGCATCGGTACTCCAAGGACCGGGCAAGAGATGTTTCCCTCATACCTGACTCATCAATCTGGCATAGATATAGTCTCCTCGTATCTCAACTCCACAAACTATGCTCAATCCGTTGGAAAACCGTTTTTGATGTTCGAAACCAACACTGCGTCTTGCGGTGGTTTCCCCGGCCTTAGTGACAGCTTTGGGGCAGCATTGTGGGGATTGGATTATAGTCTACAGATGGCATATTCGAACTTTTCGGGTGCACTGATGCACGTCAGTGGTCAGGATGTCTATTACAACGTACGTGTTCTGTAATGTTGTATGTCGGAGGTTTGATTAAGTCTCCCTTTCACAGCCCTTCACGCGTAGGTCTTTCAGAGCTCGGTCAGTAATGAGCACATATCTAAATCTTTCCTCTAGCTCCACCTACTAACCAATCGACCTTCCATCAATGGACCATTGGACCTATCTATTATTCAGCCCTCGTCATGGCTGAAGTACTGGGTTCCTCCAATGCCTCTCAAGTGGTTGATCTCCAAGCAAACGGTAACAACGAGTTCACTCCAGGCTATGCAATTTATGAACATGGCCAGCCCATGAGAGTCGCACTGTTCAACTACGTATCAGATCCCACAGGGGCAAGCGATTACACAGCGAGCATTTCCATCAGTGGTGGAATGGTTCCTGCGCAAGTTAATGTGAAGTAAGGCTTTTGCTTGGACAGTGGAAGGCAACACAACCTCTGACGGTACTTTCTCAGGTACCTCGCAGCTTCTTCGGTTGCTCAGAAGTATAACTTCACTTGGGCGGGTCAGGTAAAGTCATCTCCCTGTAAATCGCTATACGTTTTATAAATTCTTTCTCACCTTTTGATTTCCTTCCTTCAGACCTTTGGTGACGTCTTTAGCTCTGACGGAAGACCAGTGGGCCAATTAGACGTCCAAACGGTCACTTGCGACCAGAGCAACAACGTCTGCTCAATCCACGTCCCCGCTCCCGGCTTTGCTCTCGTCTTCCTGAACGGCCAAGCGTCATCTGAATCCGATTCGGGCGCGACCATGACGTTCCCTACCACTGCATACACCAAGACCGAGAACACAGTTACCATCGATCAGGCAGTACTCGCAACGTCGAACGGTGAGCGAGGCATGAGTGACATGTTGGGAGGCACGAGTAAAGGTCGTGTGAACAGTGCCTTTGGGTTGTCGCAAGCTCTACCAAGTATTGGCGCCATCATTGCTGGTGCGCTTATTGTTGGGAGATTGAGTTCACTTATTAGATGATAGACCCTGGATTTTGACTGGTTCTCCTGTCCAAGCTGTGCAATGACGGACATCCTGACTACTTTACGACCACTCTAATATTCTTTCTTTCTTGTTTAGCATGGTTTTTCTTAGGAATTTCAACACATTACTTACATTCAAGTTTACACGCACCCACTGCACCACATTGTAGCATAACACCTTTCCCGCATAGACTACATTCTCGCTTTCCCTGCTTTGCTCGTAGCACAAAGTTAAATACATCGTTAGTCTTTGAAGTTGATACGGAACATATTTGGCAGAGATACAAGTAGGCATGCAATAGAAGTACATTTTGCATCTTGAGGCTGCTTTGTGTATGTAAGTATTCAGCACTGGCACAAAATCACAGGTGGGTAGGTCATGCGGTCTCGTCAGTTTTGACCTTTTTGATAGTCTTGACAGTTGGAACGCCTTGTCCTCGTAGGCCTACATCCGGGCCACCGTCAGGTTCTACAGCCCGCTTTCTCTTCTCCCCTGCCTTCTCGTCATCGTGGGTACTTGAGCTAGGCTTATCGCTATTTTCCTTTGAGCGCCCTTCACCCCTGTCCCGACCTCCTCCCCGGCCACGTCCTCCACCACGTCCCCCTCCACGTCCTCCCCCGCGTCCACCACGACCTCCTCCACCGCGACCGCCTCGCGAGGACCCTCCTTTTCGTTCTTGAGAACGCGACAGCGCTGACCGTGCTGCGAAGTTGGCCCGTTCTATCTGGAAATCCTTCTCTTCGCTCTCTGCAATATTTTACAGTCAGACAAGAGGCCAGGAGGTTGTAAAACGTAGAATATGCAAACCTTCGGGAACAGCCCAAGTGACTTCCTTCGAGTTGACTGTTTTTATGCTTTCTTTCACAAATGCGACTTCATCTTCTGTGAGAGCCTTGTCGAAGCCAACGAAACCAAAGTCATCGCCTTTCTCAAATTTGATAAAGGGTACGCGAGCAAACCGTTCTCGCAATGGATTCTGGAGGATGTATTAGCAAGCCACATGGAGTAAATAAACCGTTGACCCTACCTTCATCTCTGCAAAGTTTGCATCACCTCCACAGCCAGTGAATTTGAGCGTCGCGCCTTTCACAAGGGGGACATCTTCGTTTTTCACGCTTCCTCCGTCTTCCTCCTGCACTCGTATTTTGCTTCCCATGAACTCCAGCCATACTTCTGGTTTGGGCTTGTCCTTGTGACTACCACCTTTCTCATTTTGGCCCTCTTTAAAGGCGTTAAATCCGCGCCGACTGGTCATAGTGTCCTTCCTCATAGAAGCACTCTTTCCCGTTAAACCTTTTTCTTTGATTTTCATGTCGCAGTAGGCTTCCCTGCAAAACATCAGATTTCGTGTTTTAATTAAATACATAAATAAAAAGTTGACTCACTTTGACATGATAAGAAGCTCTTCACCGTCCCATTTTGGTTTAGGGTCTGCATTCAAGAAAGCATTTGCAGACTCCATACTAGCATATTCCACAAAAACAGATCCCTAGAGAACTGCCTCAGACATTAAGCATTCGGTTAACATTCGAGGAAATATACCTTGAACTCCTTTTTGCCATCCACGCGCCGCATTCTGACTGCATTCGCAGTACCGTATTGGTTGAAGAAATCTTCGAGCTTCTTCTGGAGTTCAGGTTCTTCTTTCCCAAAACCTTTCTGTAGGTTGGTGCGCTATAGAGAATCTATGATTGGGAAGAAGACCTATGCTTACCGCATAAACGCTACGCTCAAATTGCCCCTTTGGCTCCTGAACTTCGGTACGGCGCCTAACATTCTCACCAGCTTCATCCACTTCTAGCTCTGTGCTGGTGCGCAGAGCTTTAGCTATCCACACTACACCAAGGGCTGCGAAATCACGCATACGCGTAAACGAGGATACAATTTTGATGGGGACCCAATGTTCTTCATTGGCAGTATGTAGAGTCCACATAAATCTACGGGTTCAGAATCTAGCGGGGGGTAATGGTGACATAAGTAGGATAGCTCACCTGTCAAACGGAAGGTTTGAGTCTGCAAAATAAAATTCGACTATCATCGTAGTTCACGTCCCGAGTCAGCATATCATTTCAGTAGAACAGGATCGTACATTACTTTGTTTGCGTGCATTCGCCATTTTGTCCGCCTCCTCTTCCTCCGTCATTTTTACATTCTCCGTCACGGTCGCAGCTGCTGTCGCAGAAGTGGACGCAGACTCTTCAGTTGCGCCATTTTTGGCGGGTTCAGGTACCGCAGCAGACATATGTGACAAAAAAAATGAAACAAAAAAGATAATAAGAACAAGTAAAAGATAGGAAGTGAACGAGTTCCCAGACAAGATTCAAGGAAATCGAGGGCTCGCAAGATATCCAAGCTGTTCTCCGAATCCCGAGTCTGGGACATATCGCGGGATTTGCCGAAAGATGATCACTTCAAGGTTAAGGTTCCCTTATCTACCGATCATCATCTCAGTGCAAACAAAGCAAACTGAGTGAAACACCGAATAAGGCTTTGGAGTTGAGTGGGGTAGGCTCCAGAGTGTCTGTGTTGACAAGTACACAATCATAGTGTTGTTCTTGGTTGAAGCTAGGATTGCACTGTAAAATATTGCGCCCTTCGCTCCAATCCTCCAGTGATTGGTACATAAGATATATACATTGGTATTTTCTGATCTGTTAAAAGAGTAAGGTCAGAGCCGGTGTCATGCACCAAAGTTGATTGGTAGCATTGTGACAACACCAACAAGACACAGTCTTGGGGCACTGGAGCACAACGAAACAACACTCAAAAGAAGAAGAAGAAGAGGTGGGAGTGGTTACCCATTTGGTAGGACTGAGTTGGTTGTTGGTTGTTGGTAGACAATGGGAGGACTCGTTGAGTCCTTCCCCAAGATCTATTGGGGTTTATATACTAATACAGGTTTGTTTGTACATATGTACTGTACAGTTGCTAGAGGCAGTGGCTGCTGATGTCATGGGGCCTAGCCCGTGTGACCAGCTCCACTGTGTGAGATACTTGTAGCTAAAATCTATAACGAAGGGGACGGTGGTCCTAAATGCCGCGTGTGAGCCACATTGTGTCGGTTATTTCGCTTAGTTTCGCTCATGTGGTTTTTGTGGCAACACAGGAGCAGCAGTGCAGTAGTAGTGAACACAGTGAAAATCGTAGCCACACTGAAGAATTCTCACGCTTATAAGAACATTCAACAATTGTAGTGAAAATCGTAGCCACATTGAAAACTCTCACGCTTATAAGGACATTCAACAATTTGTAGTGAAAATCGTAGCCATGTTGAAAATTCTCGTGCATAATTGTTTTTACTACAAAACACGATATAGTGGACCAAAACTCACGCCTGTGGCACGACGTGACACAACTCAACCAAACAAACCTCTTTTCCTACTATGTGTTATGATAACACAATTTTCGGACTTTCCCTTTACTTTTATTCTCCGCTTTAACCTTGTACTATAGCTTTCACACATGGTGCCATGCGGCACTTCCCCTTTCTCACGCCGCGTTGCCTTTCTTCTTATTTTGGACACAACTCTCTCACACAGTGGAGCTGGCTATGCGGGCTAGGCCCTATGACATCATCAGCCACTGTTTTTATCAACTGTATAGTACACATGTACAAACAACCCTGTAGTAGTATATAAACCCCAATAGATCCAGGAGACTCCTCAGCGAGTCCTCCTGTTGTATACCAACTAACTCACTGCATTTTAAGGGGTAACCACTCCCTCTTCATCTTCTCTATAGTGTGTTCCTGTGTGCGCCAGAGTAACTAACTCTTGTTTGTTACACTATGTGGGGAAGTGGTCTGGCCCTACACACAAAACAAATTGTTGTTGAGAATTTGCACATTTTGCATTACAAAAATTAATAGCCATTATTGACCACACTGGTGTGCATAAAAATAAAATCAAAGACCCTTCCCCACACATAAAAACACAGCTTACACAATGTGAGTTTATAACAGTTTATGGTGTTGATTCAATTAAAACTGACACATTGATTACAGAAGCCCAAATTATCAACAAACCAGTGCATATAGCAAATACATAAATATGAATATGAGCAATTCAAATATGCAGTATGTGTAGTATTGTTAATGTGTCATTAACCACTAACTGATATATTGATGTCATTTGTAGACATATTCCACAGACACCTGAACAAGAACATGGTGAACATTGCGATAGAGATTGTATACAACGTTATCAACAGATGACATCACCAAGTGTGCGACGAGAGCATCTCTTGGACCGTAGAGATTTGAGAAATATCAATATTGTGCAACCAAATTTTGGAGGACCTTTGCATGATAATCACATGCCTCAGCCATTAGCTGGACCTGCATACCCTCAATTGCGGCCCCCTTTTCAAATGAGGCAGGGTAACCAGTTGCTTGCTACCCATGGTGTTGACTACAATGAAAGGCTATTAGATGGGTTTCAAAACTGACATGCAGAATGGGTTAATCAACGGCGTAATAGACTACGGAGGCAGGAGTAGGCTGAGGATCAGATGATTCAATGCCAGGAAGCAATACAGCTCCAAAGGCAGGAACAGCAGCTGGCTGAGGATCACCAGGAAAGAGAAATTGAAAGTCAGGAGGCAATTAGACTACAGGTACAGCAGCATTCTCAGCATGCTGATCTGCATTATGAAGAGCTACAAGCTCAGCAACTCATTAGAATCCAAAGAGCTGCTCAAGAAGAGCTTGAAAGGAGGGAAGATGAGCTAGCAGACCAGGCTCACAGGGCTGCCAGGGATGCTGTAGACCAAGGTGCGGACTTAAATGAACCGGTAGCTGCCAGAAATGCACCAAGGATGCCAAAGCCTCAACAACTTGCAAACGAACGAAATATTGCCAACCGCCGCCAAGCACAGATGATACGCCAGGATGCCCGACAACCATATGTAGAGCCTCTATACCGTCATACTTTATGCAACATGGAAGTAGAGTGCCGTAATTGTGGAGCATTACACTGGGATACCGAGAGACTCACAAGTTCCTCTGGGATCCATCCAAAATTTGGTGTGTGCTGCCTTCAAGGTCAAGTTAGGCTGGATTCTTTCCAGGAAGCACCTGCTGCGCTACACCGTCTGTTCCGTGGGGTTAACATTACTGCACGTGAATTCTGCGACAAAGTTCACTCATACAGCAATGCCTTTGCATTTACATCTTTGGGTGTCAAGATAGACCATGCTGTCACAAGTGCTGCAGGACCTTATAGTTTCCGTATCCATGGAGGCCTTCATCATAGCATCAGCGCATTCCATCCACCTGAAGGTGAAACTCCCTCTTTTGGCCAGCTTTACATTCACAACCCACAGACCGCCTTTTTTTACGTAATGAGAATAACCGGGGGCATGGCACTACACCAGCAACCATGCTGGAGATCCAGGATACCCTGGAGCAATTCAATCCATTCATCCCTTTGTACAAGCAAGCTTATCAGATCATCATGGAAAAGCCTGAAGCAGAACGTGCCAACATAACAGCCCATATAGCTCTTGATCAAACTCTGGACCAATATCATTATAATCTTCCTACTGCAGATGAAGTTGCTGCTGTTATCCCTGGAGATGGAGAACAAGATGTTGATGAGCACTGTGATATTGTTTTGCGGCTGAAGCAATTTGATCATGGTGGTGGTCTCAAGCATATCAGCCATTTGCACCCCCTTTATTCACCTCTGCATTATGTTCTCCTATTTCCCTTTGGAGAACAAGGGTGGCATAGGACAATATGGTCCATTCAAAATGCTGATGGAAATATACGCAGTGAATATGTCTCCCAGCAGTGTTATTATGCATACCGTCTCCATCCCTGAAGAACCGATCAATCTAATCTCTTCTATGGTGGAAAACTACTTCAGGAGTATTGCGTTGATGCATGGGCTTCCACAGAAGAAAGTGAATTGAAGTGGGTCCATCATCATCAAAAAGACATAAGGGCAGATCTTTAAGGCGTTAAAGATGCTATGGATCAAAATGATGGGGAAATAGATTTGGGTCAACAGGGCCAGAACATTGTCCTACCATCTTCTCATTCTGGTAGTACATGGCACATGTACCAGCACTTCCAGGACTCCATGGCTATATGTCGCCACTGCCGTAAACCCGATATTTTTCTTACAATGACAGCAAACACCAACTGGCCTGAAATTCAAGAGGCTTTGCTGGAATACAACAATGCTGGTGAAGTAGATGATGACCCCAATATGCCTACAAGAAAACAGACTGCTGCAGACCATCCTGACATTGTTGCACGTGTCTTCTATCAGAAAAAGAAGGCACTGTTGAAGGAAGTCAAAGATGGGATCTGTTTACACTGTGGAATACCAAAAGCGGGGTTTGCCACACATGCATCTTCTCATATTCTTGGAAGATCAATATAAAATCTGTGATGCCACCCAGGTTGACTCTGTTGTCTCTGCTCAAATTCCTGATCCTGTCACACAACCAAAGTTATATTCAATGGTCACAAAGTGTATGATGCACGGTCCATGTGGACCTGAGCACTCTGGAGCTCGGTGCATGAAGAATGGAGCATGCTCAAAGCGCTATCACAAAGAGTTTTGTGCTGAAACCAGATTTGGTGATGATGGTTATCCAGAATATGCAAGGCCTGACAATGGGAGGACTTATACAGCTCCAAGTGGTCATGTTTTTGATAACTGTGATGTCGTCCCTTATAATGCATATCTCTCTGCCGAACATGACTGTCACATCAATGTTGAAATCTGTGCATCTGTTAAGGCTGTCAAATATATTCATAAATATATTTACAGGGGCCATGTGGAAGCATGCTGGCATCTCTTGGAGTTCCCTATGCATGAAGAAAAACCAACGGTATTGCGCCTTCCCGTCCACTTAAAGGATCAGCAAACTGTATTCTTCAATGCCCATGATGATGCAGAGAATATAATCAATAACAACCGTACATCAAAGACTCAACTCACAGAATGGTTCACTGCCAATAAAGATCACCCTGAAGGCCGTCACATACCTTATCAGGATTATCCTCAATACTTTGTCTGGCACAAAGGTGCCAAAAAAAGGACTCCAAGAAAACAACAATTTGCTATAGGGAGAATGATGTTTGTCCATCCAAGCCAAGGGGAGCGCTTCTACCTCCGTACACTGCTCACTGTGGTCCCTGGAGCAGAGAGTTGGGAAGATTTGTGCACATTTGGTGGGGTTTTACATCCAACTTACAAAGCTGCATGTGCTGCACGTGGCCTGTTAGAAGATAATGGTGAATGGGATCAGTGTTTGGCAGATGCAGGAGATATGCAGACAGGCCCTGAAGTCCGTGCTCTCTTTGCAGTTATCTTACTGCAATGTCTCCCAAATGAGCCTGCAAACCTTTGGAACCGGCACAAACACAAGATTTGTGATGATTTACACCATCACCTTCTTCAAAGAGGGATTGCCCAACCTTCAGAAGACCAGATTTATGATTATGGACTATTCTTGCTGGAATCCATACTTACTCAAGCCAACAAGCGTCTTTCAAACTTCCCACCAATGCCTTTTCCTCAGCAACAATGGGAGCCTATCATTGCAAACAATCTTCTCCACGAGCAGCAAAATTATGACAGATTCAATCTTACTTTGGAGGTTGAAGATAATGTAGAGAGGCTGAATCAAGAGCAGCGGAATGCTTTTGATACCATTATGCAGTCAATCCACCATAATGAGGGAACAACTTTCTTTATTCACAGTGCTGGAGGTGGGGGCAAAACATATCTCTGTAATACAATTGCAGCCGCCGTTCAAGCAAGGGATAATCATAATGTTGCTCTATGTGTAGCATCCTCTGGGATTGCATCCCTGCTCTTGGAGGGTGGCCGCACAGCTCATCCACGCTTTGGAATCCCTATTCCTGTACATGAAACATCCACATGCAGGATTCCAAAAAACTCTGACCTCCATGAGGTATTGAGACATACTGGAGTTATAGCCTGGGATGAAGCGCCAATGCAACACCGTCATGGGATTGAAGCATTAGATCGTACATTGCAGGACATTTTGGATAATTAACTTCCATTTGGAGGCATTACAATGGTCTTTGGAGGGGACTTCCGCCAAACAACACCTGTTGTTCCAAGAGGGTCAAGGCAACATATCATTTCTGCCTCTCTTAGAAGGTCACAACTGTGGACAAATATCCATGTCTGCTATCTCACACAGAACATGCGCCTGGACCGTACTCCAGAAAGTGAAGCCTTTGCTAGCTGGCTCCTGGATGTTGATGGTCATTGTGGAATTGCAGGAGATGGAAATATTGAGCTTCCCGCTAACATGCTTATGCCAGAGAACACCATAGACTTATTAGTCGACACTACCTATCCTGGAATTGCAAATGGAGACAAAGATGACCATTATTTCCTCCACCGCACCATCCTCTCTGCAAAAAATGATGCCATTAGCGACCTTAATTCAGCAATCCTCACAAAATTCCCTGGAGAAGAGTTAGTAGCTCTGTCAATTGATAAAGTGGTTGGAGAGGGGCATGAACATTATCCTGTGGAATTCTTCAACTCCTTGCAAGTATCTGGCCTTCCTGAAGCGCACCTCAAACTTAAAGCTGGATGTCCACTTATGCTCCTCCGCAATATTGATCCCCTAAATGGACTCTGTAATGGAACACACATGATTTTGATAGAGATGAAGAGAAGAGTATTGAAGTGCCGTGTCTTGGGAGGAAAACATACAGGAAAGATAGCTTTTATTCCACGCCTCACATTGGAACCTTCATCAGAAGAATTGCCCATCAAGCTATCAAGTCATCAATTCCCTGTCCGTGTTGCCTTTGCCATGACCATCAACAAGTCTCAAGGTCAATCAGTGACACAGGTTGGGCTGGATTTCCGTGTTCCAGTGTTTTCACATGGGCAATTTTACGTTGCATTGTCTTGCTGCACTTCAGGGGAGAGAATAAAAGTGCTATTTCCACATGTTCAAATGACAGACATACCATCAATGTGGTGTATCCTGAAATTCTGACTGGCTTTATCCGTGACTGGCAAGTAGATTTTTCCCCAATTCTTACCTTTTTTACTAAAGTGTTTTATTCTCAGATCATATTTTCATCCTTTACCATTTCTGGAGTCTCTTTTTTTATTTCTCATCAATTTATCAATGTAATACCATAGACTTTTTACGTTACAATATATGTTGATGTTTGTAAAGGTTCAATGAACTATCTGCTTGAATTCAGTATACTGTACACAAGTTTAGGGCAGGCTTATAAAGACATTCAACGACAGAACTGCAAGTCAAACATGCATCATAGGATTCAAAGACTTAACATATATTACAGACAGCATAAGTTTACTTAACATTTTGATCACTTAACAGTGATATTATTATTATTATTATTTATTATATCATAAAAACATTGCTCAAGTGGCAGAGCCACGGGCTGGACCTCGTAAGAATAAGGCAGTGCCGCGCGAGAAAGGTGGAGTTTTTGAACTAAAAGGGAAGTGCCACATGGCACAGTGTGAAAACTACAGTACAAGGTTAAAGCGGAGAATGAATTTTAAAGGAAAGGTCCGAAAATGAAAAGCAAAGTAAAATAGTCGTGTGACTGGTCATGTGACTTGGAAAAAGTAAAAGTACGAAAAGAGAAGTGTAAGTGGGTACTGGTACATCAATTGTAACAAGCATGGACAGGTGTCAAAAATGAAGCAAATATTCAAAAAGACTCGCCTTTGCGCCACACAGGCACAGTGCCACGTGGAATAGTAATTAATATTGCCTTTTTTGAACTTGTGGCTGATCACCACCACCTCTATTAGGCAATTTAGTTGCGCTCACCTTTCCTTTTCCATTCGGTACTTTCCATATTTCGGCATTTCAGCAAATTTTCGCGTCGCCACTGGCTACACATTGTGCCCTTGCTTTCGTCGTTCTCCCTTACTTTTTTTCTTTACTCAGCCCCACCATGGGACCCTTGCTCTCTTTTTTATTCTCACCTGACGGTCGCTTCTGGATCCCCATTCTAGTTCACCTCCTCGTCACCTCCACCCTCCTCCTACTGGTCTTCTTTGCTCCCCCACCATATCTGATGTCACCACTCTCTATCCACTTCTGTTGCCAATCCGTCGACCACCATGTGCCACTGCTGATATCAGCAAAGCCCCGGCGGCCAGTCCAAATTGGGCAACAGGTCCATCTTCATGACGTCGATCTTCCATCATATACCATCAAATCATTGGTTGCTCGTCTTGCCTGGTTGGAGCGTGGGTGGGTAGTTTTTGAGCTGGAGAAGGTTCATCCCCTTGCATTGCCTATGTACATCACTGTCCCATTCACTTGGGTACATTTATCTTTTGTCCATCTTCTTCGCTACAGCTACACCTACCACACGTTGCCTGGGACTCACTTGTTCCAAATTGGAACTACTCCCCTCCCTCCCTCGTTTGACCAGGTGGTCCAATACAACTAGTCCATTGGTAAGGCCATGGAACTGTCGGATTTGGACTAGGTGATGGACCGGTGGCTCCAGTTTCTTTTTTTCAGCAGAATATTCATTTACAGTGCAATTATTTTTGATTTTTGAATCATTTTTATGGACACATATTTTTTTAGAATGCCTGACTGACAATAAAGGAACTGTGTTGATACTGATATTGTTTTTCTTTATCTTTTTTTTTACTGCATCTTCCCATGACTTCATGATTTTCTTGCTCTTTTTCTGCTATTAGACTTTATTTTATGGCTATACAAACCTGTGGCATTACTTACACAGCAATTATTGTTCTATCTCTTTCTTTTCCTTATTTTGACGATCTTATCCTGTAATACCTACACAGGATTTGTCAGCATACATTCCTTCCTTCATGTTCTTTCTCATTCCTTTTTGCACAGCTAGACTGTGCATAGCCTACCTTTTTTTTACTATATAAACCCCTGTATTTCACCTTGTAAAAAAAAACAACAAGAACTCCAATCCAGACTTCTTCTCTAATCTCAAGTCCACTTCTTACTGCTACTTGTGATCCAGTGTGGTCACAATACTTCTCACTGCTACCACCACTTCAGTCAACCTCTTTCCATAGCCTCTTAGGCTGATCAGTTATGGTTCAATGATGTGCCTAAGAGGCTTTTATCCTGGGATTATCACACATGCAGGTAATCCATCCAGGACTCTCTTAAATTAAATTCATCCAAGGGGTATTTAAGAATCCTAGGACTCCAAAGTGGTGCCAGGGTCCTTGTATTGATTAAAATTTCAAAAGTTATATATCCTACATTATTACAGGGTGGGACTATCTTAGGATGTTATAAATTCAAAAATGTCTCATAATAGGTAACAAGGTGTCCTTTAGGGTTTATATATGTGGTAGTCTAAATATGTCCCAGATACTCCAATAGGATGTCCTTGTTGTACCCTAAATGTCCTTTAGGAGTACTTGTATAGTGTCCATAATATAATCAGACTATTTTGGAATATCATTAGGTACTCCCAACGGACATCCAAGATATAATAAGAATATCCTACTAAACTATTTGAAATACCTAGTGGGATATCAGTAGTATCCAGGGTAGTCTGTATTGGATATTGTGGACATTATACAGATACTCCTAAAGAACATCCAGGATATAATAGGGATATTTTTGTGAGGCAACGATAAACTATAACAAAAACGAAACCTGTCTCCTTCTGCACTTGCAGGGAGTAAGGGGTTTGATGGGCTTGAGGTTGACAGACGCTAGTAAATATAGCGAGTAGAGGACTTTGAGAGGTAAGCTGTAAGGACCATTTCATTATTTTCCTATCTTCGTTATGTCTTGGTTCTCGAACGCTTTTCCCATTACACCTCTGGCTCTAGGGCTAGAGGTATCTTTTGCCATTTTACTTCTCATAGCCCTCACAGGCTTTCTTAACCATCACTACCATTTTATATCACAGATCAGAGACTGGGTATCACTCCCAGCCAGCCAGCACACTGGGTAGGGACTGGTAGTAGGCATCTCGCCAACCAGCTCCAAGCCCCAGTAAAAGCCTGGTAATACTAATAACGCCTTATTTAGGATCGTACCTCATCATGAGGATATGGTTCCTGAACACGCGTGACAATCCTCTATTATTAGTACAAGTCTCTCACCTGCTGATTAATTCAAGTCAAAAGTCGTACGATAGTTACTCTCCCTTTTTCTTATTGGTTGATTAATTCCTCAGACCACTTTTCGTATATTCTCCTTTCGGTCTGAGGAACGAACAGTTCCCTAG